TAGGAAGAACAACCTTCAGAACACAGCCAAAGAGCCCGAAAACCCCACAACAACCATTAAATCCCGGCCGTGAAAACCTTCGCAAATACATTCAAGTAGTAAAACTTCTGCATAAAAATAGCAGAAGTCTCCAGGAGGGTTATAGACTCTTTTCTTGTTCTCTTCAATTCTCGTGTGTTTGGCTACAGGAGTATATAAAATTTCCTCTTGCAAGGTCTTTCCTAGGGCCTTTAAGTGGAGATCCCTGGACTGAGAGTTGTACAGAATCCCTTAAATACCTTCTGTTTTTCCTTGGGATATCTGGTGGAGTTAAGGATGGAAGGACAGATGTCTATGGAGAATGAAGCAGAGCTGACATGAGTCAGTCAGGTGGGAGGGAGGGATACAAGTTTTGTGTGCAGATGCATTGATATTTAAATATTTAAGCTCTTCTGCTTCCTCAGTTGCCTTGCTAGCAGACTAATGGCTTTTCCTTGGTTTTTCTGTAGTTCCTCTTCCCTGGCAATGCATGTGGCTTGTCCATCCCAGCCCTCAGAAAGGACGGAGCCTGCACTGGTCCTAGCTGTTATATGAATTCCGTGTCACCCACCTCAGTGCAGTACTTAAACCAGGATGAGCTGCGCCACTCAGAGGGAAGACAACTCTTTAATCCTAGGGCCAGCAGCCAAAGAGGGAGCAACCCAGGGCTGTTTCCTGGAGGGAGAGCAGCAGGCAGCCAGCAAAGTGAGCCCGACGAAGTGGACAAAATCAAAAGCAAGCTTCTCTCTACCTGGAACAACGTGAAGTATGGTGAGTCTGACTCGTGAAAACCTTTCCCATCTGATTTGTTTCTTTTGAAATAAAGAATTCAGGTACAACATGGTCGCTTTCGCCCAGAGTTCCATTTGCTGCCACTTCTTCCACCAAATTATCTCTGTTGATTAAGATCAAGTCCAAAATAGCTACTCCTCTGGTTTCCTCCGCCGTTTTTTGTAGGAGAAAATTTCTGGCACACAAGCCAGAAATTTCTTGGAAGGTCCATATTTGCTACAATTTGTCTCCCCAACATATATCAGGATAATTGAAGTCTCCTGCTACTACTACTACATTATGTTTCCTTGAAATTCTTGCAATTTGTTTTTCAAAAGTTTCATCTGCATCTTCTTGAATGGGTGGTCAGTAATAGAGTGCAACTACCGTGTTCCTTTTATTTTTTGCCCAAATTATATTAATCCAGATGCTCTTGATGGGACAACCAGGCTCAGCCTCATGTATTGCTATGCAGGAATGTGTGTTTTTGACACAGAGTGCTACGTCACCTCCCCTTCCATTCTCTCTGTCCTGTTTGAATAATTTGTACCCTTCCGTTGCTCTATTCCAGTCATGGGAATCATCCCACCAAGTTTCAGTCATCCATATCAAGTCATATTTATTCTCCTGAACTAGAATTTCCAGTTCTTGTTTGTTTCCCACGTTCCTGGCATTTTATATAGACATTGGAGATTGTATGGTTTGCAACTTGTTTTGTTTCTTACCTTTTTTTGAAGATTGTTATTTGGCCCCATTAGAGATGCTCGGTCTGTTCCTCTACATAAGCCTTCATCTGTTGGAGCACTCACAACTTCCTAAGGTAACTCTTCTAACAGTTAGGAAGTCTTCCCTTATATTCAGCTATAGCTTGAACCAATTATTATATGTCCAGGACTCTGGAAAGATCAAGAACTGATCCTGCCCCTCCTCTGTATAACTACCTTTCAAATATTTGAAGATTGCTCTCATATCTCACCTCAGTCTTGTTTTCTAAAGGATAAACATGCCCAGTTCTTTCAGACTTTTTTTTTCCACAGGGCGTGGTTTCCAATTCCCTGATAATCCTTGTTGCCCTCCTCTGAATCTGTTCCGGTTTGTCCATGTCCTTCTTTACGTGCTAAGTCCAGAACTGGGCACAGTAAAAATGAGGCCTAACCAGTACTGAATAGAGGGGAACTAGTCCTTCACATGATTTGGAGACTGTACTTCTGTTAATGCAGCCTAAAATAGCATTTGCCCTTTTTTTTGTTGCAGCTGCATTGCACTATTGGCTCACATTCAGCTTGTAATCTACAACAATTCCAGGATCCTTCTTGCATGTAGTATTTCTGAGCCAACTGTCCCCATCTAATAACTGTGCATTTGGTTCCTTTTCCCCAGGTGTAGAATTTTGCACTTATCCTTGTTAAATTTCAGAAGAACATAGATTCTTATGTTAGCTTTCACTTCTGGTGCTGTAAGATAATTTTTTTACCCCTAGCAATTGTTTGTTCAACAACAGTTTCTCTGAAACTACTTCATGTCTGGAATGTTGCCATATTCTTTGGCATGTGGCAGATCTCCAGGTCTTGGAACAAATTCGCTTATTCACTGGGCTAAAACAATGGACAAAAGGCACACTCTTAGTGTTTCAAAAATCCACGCGAGATTGACAGATTGAATAGAAACTTTTGGTACTGCAGTGTATAGTTTGTACATGTTGTGGGGGAGGTATGTGTTTATCCAAATATGTGTGGGAAGAACACACCCTACATCGCTGTCTTTGTAGATCGTCTTAGATGGAGCAGGGAAGGTAATCTGATCCAGCGAACAAGTTCATCCTTTTTTCTCATCATTCCCTTCACCCTCTGCTGGTAATAAAGCTGCCTCTTATTGCATGGCTTTCTGGCTCCTTTGAGAACATCTGCACTGCTGGTTACCACCTACTTCTGCATTAATTCTTGAACCACACTGTGGAGAGTGAGCATGTGTTGATTCTCCACATAGGTTAAAGAAAAGGTCCTGTTAAATTTTACTTAAGATAAGGGATGAGTACACATGTGCATGTACAAAGAAGCTAAGTTGGGAGATACTTGCCTCAGCAATATTGCAAGTGAGAAAGATCTTGGAATTGTTGTAGATCAAAAGATGAACATGAGTCAACAGTGTGATGTTGCTGCAAAAAAACAACAAACAAACCAAATGCGATTTTAGGATGCATTATCAGAAGTATAGTCTCCAGTTCCTGTGAGGTACTAGTTCCCCTCTATTCAGCATTGGTTAGGCCTCTTCTAGAACCATATTCAACTAACTTCTGCAATCATATTTTAAGAAGGATGCCAACAACTGGAGCAAGTTCAGAGAAGGGCAACAAGGATGATCAGGGGACTGGATACCAAGCCCTGTGAGTAAAGATTGAAAGAACTGGGCATGTTCAGGCTTGAGAAAAGAAGACTGAGGGGAGATACAATAGCATTCTTCAAATATTTGAGAGATAGTCATACAGAGAAGTGGCAGGATCTTTTCTCGATCATTCCAGAGTGCAGGATATGTAATAATGGGCTCAAGCTACAGGAAGCCAGATTTAACCTGACTATCGGGGAAAGCCTCTTAACTGTTAGAGCAGTACGACAATGGAGTCAATTGCTTTGGGTGTGTGTGTGAATGCTCCAACGCTGGAGGCATTCAAGAGAAAACTGGACAGCCGTGTGTCAGATCTGGTTTGATTTGGATTCCTGCACTGAGCCGGGGCTTGGACTCAATGGCCTTATAAGCCTCTCCCAACTCCATTATTCTATGATTCTATAAAAACATTTTATTTCTTACCTTCTACTCCAAAAAGCTAAACACAGAGATAGGGTTGTGGAGTTTTCGTTCTGTTTTATATTTTATGTATTCAGTGGTTACTGTATTTTTCTGTGTATAAGACATGCTGGTTTTCTAAAATCATTACACTAAAAATTGAGGGGTGTCCTATACACGGAGGTAAGCTGAGGAGAGAACAAAACGGCATATACCTTGCCTCTGTAAACAGGCTTCCTTCAGTCATGAGGCTTAGCTTCGTCCAGTCAGGAGACTTAGCTTCCTCCAATCGCGAGCCTTACGGAACTGACGTCAGCTGATGCTGAACAAACCAATTGAACACGCCTTGTTGGAGGTCGAGCCTGTAAGCAGTGCTCAGATTCAACAGGGACTGGTAATGGCCGAGCATTCTGAGCCCAGAGGCTGAATACTGAAAGCTACGTTGTCTTAATTTTTGAGTTAGAGAAGTGTTGGGGGGTGTCTTATAAACGGGGGTACCTTATACATGGAAAAATATGGTCGCTTTATTGTTTCTGCCCTGCTCTTCATACTCGGCAGCAGAAGCAGTATTTGCTGGTCCCAAACAACAAGAGTATATTGTGGGAATAGACAGCCGTGTGAGCATCACTGATTGCGGGAACTGGGACAGGTCTATGGGAAAGACCCTTGCTACCAGTCTGGCTCACTTAACTCATATTAGCCTTGGAAAATGGGATTGCCCTGTGCTGTAGATGTTCCTGCGTGTGCGAGAGAGAGGTAAAGCTCTATCCTGACATTTTTAACTCATATTAGCCTTGGAAAATGGGATTGTCCTGTGCTGTAGATGTTCCTGAGTGTGCGCGAGAGACCTCTGCGCCCAATTTGGAATAAATATGATATTTTTATACTTCAACCCAACCCCTTTTGTGGTTGTATGTAAGATGGAAAGCTCTTCACAATTAGAGAAGGTACGGCATGGACTGTAATGGTCTCCTATTTTCTGCAGAGCATTCAGGTTTCTCTGTTCTCATGGCCAAAGACGGATGCATTTTGTTATGTCCTTTAGGTCTGATTCAGTTGTCTAGGTCTGTGTGTAACAAGGGCAGTAGGCGTCTTATAATTTTATACCTCCTTGTGAGGAATTAAGATTTAAATGTCATATTTTTGAAAAAGGCAGTGCAATTTAGGCTTGTAAAAGATTTGAAATTAAAATGTGTGATCCCCCCCCCTGCAATGTATATGAGAGACAATGTGATGGTGTCAATAGAGAGTGTTGTGCTCGGGCTCTGGAAACCTGGGTTCAAAGCCCTGCTCAACCACTGAAATTCATTGGGGGGGGGGCTGGCAATGGTAAAGCTCTATCCTGACATTTTCGTTAGAGTCAGCATAAGTCAGATGAAACTTGACAGCACATATTTTATCATTCCATCCTGTAGGAATATCTTCTTGCAGTAGCACCATCCTGTTCTTCAGCTTCTTTGTTTGCTTCTTATGTTGGGCCTCTCTACCCAGTCCAAAGAGATGCAGTGGGCTGGGAGGAGCCTTAGAATACCCTTTGGAGCGGATGTTGGTTTCTTACTCCCTTTGTGTTTGCTCACTCCAGGGAGTTAAATGAGCTTGTTTCTTCTAGGGATCTCCTCATGAGTGGAAACAGAGTTGGCTACCTTTATTTCTATTTTTGTCCTCCTACTTGAGAGAGAGGCTTTGAGTTCCTGCAGTGACCCTTTTTTTAGCTTACAGTAACTCAGGTCCCAGCCCCACAGCCTTATCCTAGAAACAAAGCTTTATCTTGCCTTTTGTAACCCTGAGGAGTAATAAAGGGAACGAGTAAAATGGGAAAGGGTCGTGTTTAGTTGAGAAAAACAAAAACCACTCCTTCTGGAGTCATGCATTCTTGTTGGCTTGCGATAGTTTTAGTTGAGCAGGAGGGTACAAGTACAGCAGATCATAACTGAGCTGTGGCTACTGAGAGGTGCTCACCAGTGAGTAACCTCTGTGGAAGATAAAGCACAAATGTGCTGGTGAAAGGCTTCACTTTTACAGGGGGGTGTATGAACTGAGGAGAGTGAACCAACGGTGATAGAGGCTGGAAGAATGTTCATGGTTCTGGAGACCAGTTATTGCTTGGGTCTTCACCCCAGCCCTGGGAGGAAAGCAGAAGCCAACCTTGACCGTTCATGGAATCTCAGGGACTTTTTGGTTCTTTTCTCTTTTCAGGTTGGACAGTCAAAACCAAAACCAATTTCAGCAAGCTTTCCCCAGTCCACCTCTTTGGACACACCTACCACTTTGAACGAGAAGGTGAGTAGCCATTGGTGTCCAGTGGTGGAGGAACAGGAGAGGTTTGGCTCTGTTGCAGGGTGGTATTGTGAGCTCCCTCCAGTTGGCCTCTGCTCCCTTGCCACATCAGTTTCTTGTGATATCCCTGACTCCATGACATTGGCTGTGGGTGATCACAGAACAAAAGTGGTATTGTGAGCTCCCTCCAGTTGGCCTGTGCTCCCTTGCCACATCAGTTTTTTGTGATATCCCTGAGATCATGATATCGGCTGTGGGTGATCACAGAACAAAGGAAGGCTAATTGCCTTAGAGAAAGAACAAAGGAGTCGACAAGCAGATGTCCGAGCCAGCGGAGCCTAAAGGCAACATCCTGAGAGCTCCCTTTATTGGCTTAGCATGAGTTACATAGTATGTTGTGAGAATTCAGATAGGATACTAGTTACCTAATCGCAACTAGGATTGGCTGAAGAAACCCTTTAATCTTATGCTCTACCTCTATTGCTCTACCTCTAAGCGAAAGGGCAGAATGCGAGGTTACCCCGCCTGCTGGCAGCTGCCACTTCCTGCCAGGAGTGTATGCACGTCTTGAACAGAATGCAGCTACCATCTTTAAGTTTTCCCACAAATCCTCTACCACCTTTAAGCAGAAGTTTCCCACAAATCCCTAAGAGTGTCGTTTCCAAAGGAGGTTGTTAGTGCTCCAACGGAACAAAAATTCCAGAAAACAAACATGAGTAGGTGGCTTTGAAAGACAAGGCCTAAAAGCCCTTTCATACCTTTGTGGACTTTCTCTTCCCACTTTTTCTTACTTTCTATCATGAGGACGCTTAGGCCTAAAAGCCCTTTCATACCTTTGTGGCCTTTCTCTTCCTGCTTTTTCTTACTTTGTATCATGAGGACGCTTCACTCCCCATCTTTTTTTTGCTAGGGGGAAGACTTTTTAATGGCATCTCAATGGCATTAATTACGAACTGTTTTGATTTGCATTTGTTTATCCAGACTAAGAGCATCTGGGCAATACTGCAATACTTACAGATCTGACCAGCCTTTTTTTGTGTGTGTGGCCTTTCTGGCACTCTCACGGAGCCGCCCTACCTGAGTAGGTCCTGTTTTGCCTTACAGAGGATGTGGAGCGCTTCCAGCAAGACTTTGCCTCCCGCATCTGGCTGACCTACCGTCGGGACTTTCAGCAGCTGGAGGGCACCGTGTGGACCACTGACTGCGGCTGGGGCTGCATGCTCCGGAGTGGGCAGATGCTGCTCGCTCAGGGCCTCGTCGTTCATTTTCTTGGGAAAGGTAAGTATCCGGAGTGCAGCACTTGCAAATGGAGAGTATATCTATTTTGCCCTCATATTTTAAACCATGCAAGCTCTGGAATCCCGTGTGGTAGATCACAAAGGGCCGTCAAGTCCCACAGGCTCTTTCTTCTGTTGTACTTGCCGTCTCCTGACATACCAGCAAGCAGAAGAGACCAGCAGAAATCTGATTTCTGGAGAAGACGGCTCAAGAGAAGCATCAGGAATAGAGCACAGCAGTTTGTTGATGTCTAGAGAGTCCCCCCCCTCCCCCAAGCCCATTTTGAGTGTCACTCACATGTGTTGACCATCTTGGACACACGTGGGGGAGCCTTGCCTTCAGGTTGTCCCGGCATGTTTGTGCCAAATGGGAAAGAATGATGTTCAGATCACTTGCCAGGGGACCTGCTTGGGCTGTTGACTTCTTTTGCAGCTCTTCCTTCTGTTCCTTTCTGTTTGTCTTTTCAGGCTGGACGTGGCCAGATGCCCTTCTTACCACCGGCTTAGCAGAGATGGAGCCCATGAGAGCTGTATCTCTGCCCTGTCCAAGTACAGCCAAACCGTGTCGGGCTGCACCCATCCCCACCAATCGGAGCTGGGGCCCTTGGGAGTTGGAGACCCCTCGGCACCACTGTAGCCCCGAAAAAATGGAGAAGGAGCGTTATCACCGGAAGATCATCTCGTGGTTTGCAGATCAGCCTCAAGCACCCTTCGGGATCCACCGCCTGGTTGATCTGGGGCGCAGCTCAGGGAAAAAAGCTGGGGACTGGTATGGGCCCTCCGTTGCGGCCCACATCATCAGGTGAGGAGGGCAGAGCGCAGCAAGGGATGTGCTCCTGGATATGGGGAGAGCCAGGGGTGGAAGAAGGGCATGGCAAAGATCTGAAAATTTGAAACTGTTGGAAAAGCTCATTTCCCCCTAGGTTGGTTGGTGGTTTTGTGTTTTTGTTTTTTTGAACCAAGGCTGATAGCTGAACTATCTCCAAATGCCTCTTTTCATATCAAAGCTGAATTTACTGCTTTAGCAACATAAGACATTTCTTCTATAAGTTAATTATCCTATAAAATTGTAGTGTTTGATGCATTTTATCAAATATAAACACCTTAATTTTAGATAAGTAACAGTGTGAATATATTCTAAAGAGAGAGATGCAAATGGCTGCACCCTCTGCTATTTAAGCCTACTGTATGTGTCTTAGATTTGCCATTTGCGCCCTCTGCGAATCTGGCTTGACTCACTAGTTTTGGACCGTTTTGAAACAAGGCTCCTTTGTTCTTTATGTCTCAGGGGAGATGGGAATGTTGGGCAGATACAGCTTCTCTGGCTTCTGCTGCCTTGCAATGGGACCAGCCGCGTCTGCTAAAATTCCTTCTTCTCTACAAGCGTAAAAATAAAGGAGGCCTGCTGGTTTGGATGGTGTGGCTTTGGGTCAGGATGTCTGTGAAAGACCAGCATCCTCCCATACAAGTTGACCCAGAATTTGAGATGCTCAGCAGAGGTTTGGTTGTTGGCTTGGCCCACCACTTTCAGAGGCTAAGAAGGGAGAGCACAGAGTAGGGGTACCTCTGCAGCAGCGTCCTGTTTGTGGAATTCTTTCCTTAGGGAGGCCATTTTTGTTGACGGGCATGTATCATGACCTATTTTCTTAGGCATTTGGTTTTTGAATATATTTTTAGTCTGGTTTCAGAGAATGGTTTTGTGTTTTTATGCTGCAGTTTGATTGAAGATTGCTTCTGGGACCCTGGTGAGAGAAAAGTGGTGTGTGTCAGCAGCCCTTTGGCTGGCTCTTTTGCTCCTACCTTTCCAAGGTGGCTAGAATGCGTTCTTGGCACAAACCCTGGAGTGGTGGTCTTGGTGTCACAGAGCTGGGTTGAGGGGCCGGGAAGCCAAGGGGATAGGACTGCATTCCACTGAACTGTCCCCTCGTTTCCCTGCAGGAAAGCAGTGGATTGCTGTTCAGAAGCTGGCAATCTGGTCGTGTACGTGTCTCAGGACTGCACAGGTAAAAAGTGTGGGTGGGAAGGTGAGCGAGCCTGTCTTGTATCTCGTGAAGCTCCCCTGGGAGTTCACGGTGGAGGTGATGGAGTGCTGTTTCCAGGAGTTATGACTGAATTCCCTTCCTGGTGTAGTGTACAAAGGAGACGTGGCAAACCTGGCCAACAGGAGTGAAGGCCGGACGGCGTGGGACCCTGCCGCAGAGTGGAAATCTGTTATCATTCTGGTGCCCATGCGTCTGGGAGGAGAGGCTTTCAACCCTGCCTATGTAGACTGTATCAAGGTGACTTGGGAACATGTGCAAGATGGTGGAACTCTGGGCCCCTATGGGCCTATCTGTGTTTGCAACTATGGCATTTCCTCATTCTTTTTTCCTTGCTGGCAGCAATAAGGCGAGAGAGGCACAGGGAATGCGTTTTACCAACACAAGAGGGAAAGAAACCATAATTGCTCTGTGGGGAGACCTTTGCAATTTCAGGAAGCAGTTTCTGTGGGTTTTGCTTGAAGAGGAGTACATTATCTAGTTGTGAAGCTGTTTCATGAAATACAGCAAGTCAAGAATAGCAACTAAACATGTCGGCCTACGTTCTCTTTGTAGTTGCATTGCTTTCCTTCTGCCGGTAGTCTTTGGCTATCCAAAGCATTTGAGGGTGGGCTTGTGACTCATTGTGTGTCACTTCAAATCATCCTGCATGGGCATGCAGTGAGCTAGTCAAGATGGTCTTGATTACATTCTGAAGGATTCAGACCTCTTTCCTCCTTATGCAGGAGCTTCTGAAGCTAGAGTTCTGCATTGGGATCATCGGCGGCAAACCAAGGCATTCACTTTACTTTGTTGGCTATCAAGGTAACAGACCTCATTAATGTGGCTTCAAAATCTCTTATTTACTCCTTCTCCCCAAATGTTTGAGATAAAACATGCTTCCTCATTTTCTCTCGTGATGTTGTGTGAGCATAAACCCCACATTATTTGCAGATTCCCTCAGCAGTAAGTTACGTAATGCAAAAAAAATTTTTAGCATGAACTGTAGAGGTGTTCCATCATATGTTTCATACATTTTGCACTGTGTTTAACAGTAGCTATGTGAATATTTTTCCACAACAATCCACAGAATTCCACCACGGAATTCTAGGAGTTGTAGTCTGAAGCCACAAGTGTGTGTACTACCAGTTAGCAGTTATGTCCTTATTTTTATATGCCATTATAAATACCTGAGAGGGTATTGAAATCCAGGTTCCAGGAAGCCTCCCCTGACTCTCTGTTCACCCCATCACACATTTAGCTGCAGCAAAATGCATGATAACATGGAGACAATTGAAGCTTTTGAATTAACATTGAATGAAGGCTGTTTCAGATATGTTAATCCAGTCATAAGGACTAAAAACTTGATGAAGTCCTGAATTCTCAGGATTCTATGGTTGTTTCCAGATACTATAAACCCTGGGATTTCCCAGGTGTTTTTGTCAGCAGAGTCTGACCTTAACTTCAGAAGCAACTTTTCTATGACAGGTGTCTGAAAAAGTTTCATCCATCAAATAAGTCTGTTAGCCTTTGAAGTGCCACCATGTTTTGTCCTTCTCTCCCTTTTTTTCCTAACAAAACTCAATAACGTTTCCAAAGCCGCCGCATGCGGTGTAAGTCCATCACATGCCTCGCAGCCTTTTTATTGCCTGAAACCTTGACTGGGTGAGGAAACGTTCCAATTTCATCTGTTCTCTTAATCATTATGCGCCCCCGTTCATAAGCGTATTTTATCAAGGTGAAGATTTAAATATATACATATAAAACAGGTGATAAACTAAATGCATAATAAAGGCGATTCTAGCAGAATTTTAGTAACATTGCTTCTGGGTAGGAAGGCCATCACTGGTAGAGGCTGCTTTGTATCTTGAATGGGATCTTGGCTCAGGACATTTTCTTCACCTCCTTCTCCCTAAGGGGGAGATATCAACTAGAATGGCACTGCGGACGGTGACTTGGGGTTCTGCACCTCCTTCCGTATTCCTGCTAGGGGGCAGATGGTCATTCGGCAAAGAGGTCTCCCTACCATTGAAGCACCTCATTTTCACTCCTGACATGTCTTGTTGGAAAAAGCCACAAGGGGACGTGTCGGATTGGATGTTGCCTGCTCCTCTTTTCCGTCTGGTGTCGTAGCCTCAGGTGGAACCAGGAGTCACACCCAGGATCTGTCACTGACCCCTGCTTCCCATTTCCCTTGCTTTCTAGATGATGCTCTCCTCTACCTGGACCCCCATTACTGCCAGCCCTTTGTAGACACCACCAAGGAGAGCTTTCCCTTGGAGGTGAGTGTCTGCCGTGCCCGTTGGAGCTCAAACTGGAGGGTATTTAGTCTCTCGGTGGCAGCTTGTTAACCTTATCTCTGTTGTAGGATTTGCAGCTTAAATCCTTAAACCATAAATGTGTGCCACTGAATGTGAGAGGAATCAATAGCCTGTTTCAAAGAAGGTAAATACAGGGTTGAATGGATTGTTAAATATCGGAAAACATGTTGATTATTTTTAAATAAAAAATATATGGAATAAACAAAATCGGGTATAGCCTACTTGCTGCAGAGTTTTGAATTTTGGTTAAAAACCTCTAGCTGCGCAGAGGAAGAGCAGAGATTAGCTTCAAGTCTCCCTAGTACACTATTTCTTATTCTTATCATCCGGCAGCTACAGTCTCAATAACTCGCTCTGAGACATTGGTAAGAGAAATAATTAAAAAGTTCCATTTACTCACATTTTAATAGATAAAAAACAGCAGACTGTACAAAATGACTGCTTAAAGTAGCAGGCCTCAGCAGACTAATGGCATGCTTCCAGCAGACTTGATTATCTGCGTGCACACACTGCTAACTGCCAGCAGACTGAAAAGAGAGAGGAACAGATGCTTAAGTAGAGAGGCGTACATGAGGTTGAAAATAACTCCAGCATCAAGGCCATCAAGTCACATCCAAAGTATAGCACTAACAGGGTTTTCAAGGAAAGAGATATTTAAGGAGGGGTGTTAGAACAGGTGAGTTTCATAGCTGAAGGAGAATTCAAATTCAGGTCTCTTGTTCTATTGAGTCTTTCACTCTATCCAGTACATTAGGGTGGGTACCAATAGGTGGTATGTTACTAAAATTTCTGGATTGCCTCTGTTTCACCCTGTGCTGAAATCTTAGAACAGAATGTGTTCTTAAATTCTCCTCTGTATGATCAAACCCAGCCATCCAGAAAACAGAGTTTTATTAATGAAGGCCTGGTATAACATGGCTGTGCTCTTAGTGTTTGGCTTTGAAAACACCTACTTCTCCCCTTTGTTGTATCTAGAAATAGTAAACGTTTTGAAGGCGACTCTGTCTGGTCTGCATTCAGGCCTTAGAGAGCTGATTGCCCTTGATCTTTCCTGATTATACTGGTACCTGTTATTGAGTTTTAGGCTGGGCATGGTCAATCCCAAATTCCCAAGAAGGATAGAAGAGAAGGACAGGGTGGCCTATTGGTGGTCTAGTCATTGAGCCAGACAAGTGAATGGTGTCAGGAAGGTGCTTGGACATCTTTAGAGGGCTGATCGCCCTTGATCTTTCCTAATTATACTGGTACCTGTTACTGAGTTTTGGGCTGGGCATGGTCGATCCCAAATTCCCAAGAAGGATAGAAGAGAAGGACAGGGCGGCCTGTTGGTGGTCTAGTCATTGAGCCAGACAAGCGTGTTTATATTATTCATTGCTGGCTACTCTCTCTCTCTTTTTTCAGTCCTTTCACTGTAACTCCCCCCGGAAAACAGCCTTCACCAAGGTGGATCCCAGCTGCACTATTGGCTTCTATTCCCGCCACAGGACAGAGTTTGAGGATCTGTGCTTACACTTGACTCGGGTGAGGAGATATATTTTCCTAGAAGAAGTTCAACCACTGCTGTAGTAGACTGAATTGTGCTAGTAGGATTTATTAGGCAGTACAGTAGGACCCCCATATCAGTGGGGGGGCATCAGTCCAAGACACACACACCCCGGCAGATGCAAAGAAACACATTGCATTGAACTATCTGGAAGGTGAGTCAAGGCAACTGGACTTCTTTCTTGTTCGGCTGAAACATTTCGCTTCACAGATATATTGTATTGAACTCTATTTTAATATCAAATGCTATACATAGCACGGTCTCTGGCACCCTCTAGTCCCCGGTTCTGTTAACTTCATTGTTAAAAATACAAATTTGGGGGGGATTTTTCTTTTAATATTTTTTATATTTTCAAAGTTAATAAGTGAAGCAGCAGATACTGATCTCGTGGATAAAGGAGGGGCCTACCATAATGTAAGGACTTAGCAGAACTCTGTTTCTGCAATGAGGTGGAAGCAGGTTGTGTTTGCAGAAGTCTCAAGTTACGAAAATATCTGGAAGGAAGCACTGGGAAAGGAGGATTGGGTGCTGCTTCACATGGTGATGACCTTAAAAGTATTGGAGGATGTTATGAATTAACACTCGGTTCACTAGCAATTTTACTTTATTTGGGATGGGTTCATAAGAACTAGAAAGTTAAGCGTGCCAGCCAGGAAATGTAACAACTCCATAGTTCTTCAGGGTCCTTACCGATGTGCTTTTCCACAGTCATCTCTGAAACAAAGCAAAAAACAAAAAATTGGAAGTATTCTAAGCCCATGGTTCCTGAACTTCGGTTCTCCCAGACTTTTTAACTTCCCAGTGCAGCTCTTACAGCACATGCTTCCCACCCCTATGCTCAGATTTTAAGGCAAAAGGGACTGTGGTTTCTGTGAGTTGAAAGTCAAAGCATAAAGTGGACTAAAGCATGATCTCTGAAACAAAGCAAAAAACAAAAAATTGGAAGTATTCTAAGCCCATGGTTCCTGAACTTCGGTTCTCCCAGACTTTTTAACTTCCCAGTGCAGCTCTTACAGCACATGCTTCCCACCCTTATGCTCAGATTTTAAGGCAAAAGGGACTGTGGTTTCTGTGAGTTGAAAGTCAAAGCATAAAGTGGAATAAAGCATGGCTCTAGCCCAGCGATGGCAAACCTATGGCATCTGTGCCACAGCTGGCACGCAGAGCCCTTTCTGCAGGAACGAGAGCCATAAGTCACCAGATCGCTGCTTCCCCACCCTCCGCAGCCAAACCTCAGGAGGCGGCTGCTGCTGCGGTGCTGGCCCTTCCACAGGCGATGGGCCAGGATCCAGAACAGCTGGCACTGGTGGCAGATCTGGAGTGGGGTCTTGAGGCACCTCTGTGCCCGGGATTCTCCCTTCCGTCGCCACTTCCAGTTCTGCCACCGCCACTTCCAGTGCCACTCCCCGCTGCCCGCTGGATTTTTTTGTTCCTTTGTTTTTTGTTTTCCAGCTTGGACATTCAAGCCAAAAAAGGTTCATTGTCACTGCTCTAGACTGCAGCCAGTTCCGTCTTTTGTCCCCCCCTCTCCCCTTCCTGTACTACAGGTCTTGAATTCTGGAGCTGCCAAAGAGAAATACCCCATGTTCTCCATTGTGGAAGGCTGTGCCCAGGAGTATGGCTTGGAGGAGCTGTGTGCCCGGTTCTCCCAGCAAACAGTGCAAGTCCAACGGTCTAGCAAGCGGAGCAGGGCAAATAAGCCCCCCACAGAAGATTTTGTTGTCTTGTGATCGCTGGCTGGGCGGCCCCAACACTTCTGATGTATTTATTTGTTTGTTTTATTTATTTGAAGGGGCAGGCCTGAAGCTGAAGTGTCCGTTTCTTAGGTCCAAGAACAAGGACTTCTGTATCACATTTGGGGTGGTTGTCTTTAATCCATGGCTCTTCCTCTGGGGTGATCCTGCACACAGACTGTTTTGAGGTCACCAGCTTTTGTGGGGGGGGGCTGTCGTCTCCTAGTGGCTGCTGCTAGAAGGAAGTCACAACACTGGAATAAATCTACTGAGCATGGGGCAAAGGCTGTTTGGTACCAAAATGACTGTAACAGGGTGAGAGCCAAAAAAAAATTGTTTGTTTGTTTCCTTAAGAGACAGCTAACAGTGTGAGGAGCACGTTTCTTGAGGAAAGAAGTGGTTGTAGGTTACTTTCAGGTTTCTGTCTCTCCCGTTGAGATTCCAAGGCTTTTTAATTCTAATGAACACTCCAAAGCTGAATTCAGGAACAAACTATTCAATTCCTTTGGGTAGCTGCTGGACCTCTCAGAGTTCAAGGATATTCCCGCTTCCTTTGTGCTGTTCCCTCTCCATGTCACAGTTGCATTTGCTTTTCGGCCCCTCATAATTGGGAAGCAAGGAACCACTTGGCACATCTTTTTTAACCGACGGATGGGTATGTGCGCATACACTCGTGTGTGCAGAAGGGAGTCTGGACTGACTTCAGATTTGAGGATGAGGAATTCTTGAACTACAGGCTGCTTGTAGGTCACTGGGATAGAGAAAAAATACACCAGGAACAGTTCTGACTGATTAACAAGGCCTTGTGTGGACATAAATAATTAGTACTATTGTAACCTGGTATCAGAGTGCATAGGAGAACTTCTCTGGTTGGAGACAGAGGGAGAATGGAAAAGATACTTTGGTGGCAAGAATGAGTTAAATGTGCATACAAATTACACAGATTGTACCAGAGGCTGTTAAACAACTGCTTGTGTGCTTCACAGTCAAGACAGCCAGATTCTTTGTCCGTTTCTTTCTCCGCCCTCCCATCGTTGTTTCCCCAGGACCATTCCCATATTGCTTTCTCCTGCCTCAGCAGGTGTCTTTTGAGCAGCAACTAGGGGGGAGACGAGACTGACCTCTTGGGAACCTGGCAATCGCACGCCTGAGTGCTCTTCTGCCTCCCACCCACCCCCCAAACTACTGCTTTTCGACTCAGGGGTGTGTGGTCAGCCGGGCTTGGTGTGTGCGTGACTCTGTTGGCAACTGGGAATCTTAGTGCAAAGCCTCAGAGAAAAACACCTCCTTCTAGATTGGTTTCAATCAATAAAAATGCCCTGTGAAGAGGTGTAGCACGAGGCGTGTCTTGTGTCTTTAAAATCAGTGCTTGTTGGGGGACTTTTTCTTAGTGGCCTGAGATGGTTGCACAGTTTATCTAATCTACCAGTAGCTTTAAAGTGTTGCTATTCTAGACTACAATTCTCAGAATTTAATGGTATTGCTTAGGGGATGTTAGTAGCTATAGTCTGCAACAGTAATTTTTCCAGTCTCTGAATCTAACACATAGCTTGCAAGGAAATCTGTCTGTGACAAAACCAGCGGTGCCTACGGAGTTGCTTCTGACCTCCACCACTTAATGAATGCCATGCAGCTTTTTAACTGCTCATTCCCAATCTCTGGCATGCGCAGGTAGCAGTTGGGGTTTATCATGCTAAAGTTCGTGTCCTTCATCTCCATCTGCTGCTTTCTGGTTTTTAACAATAATGCAAAGGGTTCATCCCATGTTCCTTTTCCTCGGTGCACTTTTCTTGTCCTCTGAATTTCCCTGGGGTGGGTAGAGTGAAACCTAGATTAAGAGGAACCGTGAGAAGTTCAGATTTCTGTCAGAGTCCTTATGATAAGTGAGCCATTTTGATCCACTTGCTCTTGAAGCCACACCAAAAGATTCTTAGGGAAGGGTGACAGTGCATGGCTGTATCGTTGCACTGTACCAGCAAGTTACATGACGCTATCAAGAAAACACAGTGTGCATATGCTAAGCTTCGCCAAGTTGTCTCTTAGCAACTAAGAATCAGGGTGGAGACCTTTTGGCCCGACAGATGTTTTGAGTTTCACTTGTCAAAACCTCAGTCTGGATGGCTGGTGATAAGAGATTTTGGCATTCATAGTCTATAACATGTAGACTGCCAGAGGTTTCTTACTCCTAGATGAAAGAGGGGGGTTACAGTGCTGCTAGTGAGGTGGGGGTGGCTGTACACCTGATTTAGCAGTGATGTGGTTCTAATCTCATCACCCCTGAAGATCCATCACCTTCAGGCATGCCGCTATTTTCTCACTTTCTGAATGGTAGTTGGCTGACACTGCAAGACAATTGTAAGGATTTCTGAAATGAGTCTTTGGATTTTTCAAACACACTGCACAGTCCTACATATGGGCAATTTCACATCCACAGAGTATTAGGTGCATCAGTTGGTTCCTGATCTTATAGCAGGTTCAGTTTCTGCAGGTTTGAAAGCTGTCACTCCATTTCTAGCGTCCAGTTGCTGAAACATGGAACCACAGGGAAATTTCATAAGTACACACACTAGTGGGCTGCCCGTGTCATGCCCATTTTCATCTTGGGAGCACCTTGGAGTGAAAGGGGAGCTCAAAACAATTTCTGCTCTGCTTCTCATTTAGGCAACAGGACACTAGCTGTAGCCAATAGCTAAGAAGCCTCATATGCAGCAAGCTGTATAATAGGCCTCATTCACAAAGAGGAACTGCCATTGCAGACATTCCTTCCCACCCAAGCTTGTTTGCATCCCAGTCTTTTGGGAAGACCAAATAGGAAGTGGACTGACTATAAAGGAAGCAGCAAGCTTGAATCTGCCAGACGCAACCAGGGTTGTTTAATTATAAAACATTTTGAAGGTTACTCATACATAAAAAGGTAAAAGTAAAGGTTCCCCTTGACAATTTTTGTCCAGTTGTGTTCGACTCTAGGGGGCGGTGCTCATCCCCGTTTCCAAGCCATAGAGCCAGCATTTTTGTCCGAAGACAATCTGTGGTCACATGGCCAGTGCGACTTCTTATGACGAACATTTAGCCTGACGTACACCAGTTCTTCCATGTCCACACCGAAGTGGTCCCTATTTATCTACTTGCATGTGCATGCTTTCGAACCGCTAGGTTGGCGGGAGCTGGGACAAGCGACAGGAGCTCACTCCGTTGCCTGGATTTGATCTTACCACTGCTTGGTCTTCTGACCCTGCAGCACAGGCTTCTGCGGTTTAGCCCACAGCGCCACCACGTCCTATAAGCTGCTATAAGTTGGAGGCAATATGACATAACAAGAACATAGTTTCCAAATGAAATGTATATTTCTCTGTAGGATGTACCCTGGTTTTGAACCAGCAGCTCTCAAAAATAACACAAGATTTAAGATTATAAAATAGTATAATCACTTTATATCCCAGGACCTTACATCCAGTAGCCCCTTGACAAGATTCACATTTTTACTGTCCTAAAGGCCTGTAGAATGAACCTGGGTGAGTTTCTGGACACATTTTGTAAGTATCTTCACTTTGGTTGCAATACCTGCCCCACCACACGTGCTCTCCAATCACAGGGGAGGAGGCCATCAAATATCCCAAGCAGAAGCGGTTACAGAGTTGGCCTTACGGGAGGCAACTTCAGTTCTTCGGGAGATCAACTGGTCAGTAAGTGACTCCTCACAGTGGTCCCATTTTATCACAGATACGTCTGACATGTCTTTCAGAGCAATACATTCCAGGAAGTAAGCAGAATGAGGCAAACACTTCTGTTTTTAGACATGATTGAGATAACCATCAGTCACTCAAAAAACAAAAAACAAAACCACCACTGCCAGCTATGCTTCTCGGGGTACTGCCCCCTCCATGGTTACGAGATTTGTTTCCGTTCCCAACATCTCTAGAACTGTGTACAGTTCCTGAGAAGGAAGTCCCACTGAGACCTACGCTGAAGGAGTGGGGTGCAGGACTGGAGCCTGAACGGATAATAGCTATACTGTACATTATCCAGTTAGTGGCCAGAATTGAATTGGGGATTTATGCCAGCAGGATTTGTGGGTGACTACATGATTCCTGATTGCACACTGGTTGCACAACCCCGGTGTGCAACCACCAATGCAAGTGACTACTTGTTAATCAGTGGGCTGTCATGATTTATGCAGTCTCTCTCATACAAACACACAGAGAGTATTTCTTCAAGCTGCTTATAACCTAATATATGAAATCACGTTTTTCTAGCATGGTTTTAATCCAGGGGGAGCCAACTTGTGTTTTCCCACATTAGGTCAGCCTGCAACTTCCCTTAAACCCAACTGTTAATTTTGCTAGGTAGGGCTAATGAGCATTGCAGACCACAAGTTGTCCACCTTTGCTTTAATCAAATGAAGAAATCTGGCTTTTAAAGTACTGGGGGGCAAGAGGAAGTGGTTGCACAGTAAATTAACACAACAAGCAGGAAACCTGTGTTCTTCCAGATAGTGAACTGCCTCTCCCACCATATCGCATCATCTTCCGTTATGGCTAAGGTTGAGATGGGCAAGTACAGTAAAAGCAGCTGAGAATTGGGCATAAGAACTGGATAAGCCCCTGTTTTGGCTGTCAAACGCTGGAAGGAATTTCTTTGCTTTGTGCCACAGTATGGCTCAGTAAGTGACCTGTTGTTCAGGATCAGAACAGGAAGACCAGGTTGCCATCTTGTTTACCTCTAATCAGTTGAAGGCAGCTGTGTGGGGTTCCCCACCCTATTACCAGTCCTGCTTTCTTGACTGCTGAAACAGGTAAGGGGCAGCTTTTGAGAAGAACTCTTCCATAACTAGTTATTGGTTCAAGGTTGCTGTTTTTGAAGTGAAATGCTTTGACTTTCCTACTTCTCCAAATTAAGCTCTCATTTTTTTTACTTTTTGAAAATCTTAAGTGCCAGAACCTGCTAGTCCATATGATACAGAATCCATTCTCTTCCCACTTTCTTCACTGTGACCTCAAACAAATGGGGCAGCATTTATTATTTTCCTCATCTAACACTTAGCAAGGTCACACCTCACAGGAACTACAGAGTCACAGTTAATTCACAAAAAGAAGGAAGTTTACACTTCATTCATTTATAACTGTAATGTGATATATCTCTGTTATAATAGCCAGTATATTACTAATTAACCCTATTCTACTTCAACTGCCCCACATCAGGCAAGAGATGGAAATGAAAAAAGACCAGCAGTTACATCCCCATTTACAATTGTAGTGCTTAATGCTGAGGCTGACAAGACTCCACAGTCGCCACCGAGCAACTCTGAAAACAAATGTCTCTATTGTTTGGCCCTTGCCCACTCTGAAAGGCATTATAGGGGACTGGCATGCATGTGCAAAGTGAGAAGGGACCCTTCCTGATTCCAAATGTTCTGTTCTGAATTCTCAGCAACTAGCCTTCCTTGTGAATAAGGAAGGGTTCTAAATCGACACTTGTCTCTGATCTTCTGGCATCGTATCTTCTAAAACTGCCAAGGCGTCCCTCCAGCTGAACAGGATGGCTGATACGAAAGGGAGAATGAGCCTGGTAAAAAGCAGGATGAGACCTCAGCTACCCCAGGCAACAGCTGGTACCTCCACTATGTGGTTGGGAGGGGGCGCATGTCTCTCCCATATTGCCTGTAATACAGATATGCGTGATACTGAAGCTCAGGTAAGACCATACGAAAACAGCTAGTGTACTGGGCATAGGTGAGGTTCTGCTTCAGCCTGTAGCCCAGGATGGTGACACTGCCTGGCTGCCAAGGCCGCAGGGCATCAACCATATCCTCTGGTCCAACAGAATCCCCTGCCAGGCATGTGGTCACCGTCTCCCGCAGCAATGCCCGAAAAGCGTCCAATTCCCGCTTCATACGCATATAGCCGTAACGCTCTACCTTGTGCCAGAAAATCCTTTGGAAAAACTTGTAGAGTTGCATATCGAACCAGTTCCAAGCTTGGATCTTCTGCGCCAGTGCCTTAGACAGAGGCGGCCCCTTCTTATGACGGACATTTAGCCTGACGTACACCAGTTCTTCCATGTCCAGGCCCAGTAAGTCCCGAGCCAGGAGCAGAGACTCATCAAAATGCTCTGCAATCATCACCAGCTGAAAAATCTGGTTGAGTCTTTCCAGCTCCTGGGTCCACTGGCTGGTGGCAGCTTCCTCCTGCCCTGGATTTAGGCCCAAGTCAAAGGCCATGGGGTTCTTGGCGAGACCATTGCTTGCATCCTGAGCGTTATAGTGCTCTGCGGAGGCTTCAAGGAAAGCAAGCAAAGGGCTGGAGTGATTGGCCAGGGGCTGGAAGGCAGGCACCACGTTAAGGTAATAGTGGAAGACGGATTCAAACGTCTGCGCCGGGTGGCGCAGGATGGTGAGGTAGACACTGTGGGAAGGCATGACCGCCTGCACTTCCCCAACATGCAGCCTCATATGGCTGCAGAGGAGGTTGAAGTGCAGCGCTCCGGGTGGGAGATCCTCCACAAAGGCTCTGGAGAAGCACTCTGGGTAGGCAAACTGGTAGGAGTAGAGTGGGAAAGCCACAGTCAGGTTGCGCCGCTCACTGGCCCGAAACAGGATATTCTGCACGGTGCTGCTCCCGGTCTTGTGAGTCTTCAAAAAGACAACGCTGAGGCCTCCCTGCTCCTCCTGGCCGGCCCTCCCGGTCACCTGTGGAGCAGGAAGCGTGCGCGTGGGACTGCTCCTCCGCGGAAGGCTCAAGAGCTCCTCCCCAGGGCTGAGCCGCAGGATTTCTCTGCAAGGGGAGGGAGAGTTATTTTCAAAGGGAGCAAGAGGGAGTTGGGAGAACTGACCAAACGTACAGTAGGACCGATGGCTGAGAGGCTGCTTAAGGGGGAAGAAACACAGGTTTGCAAGACTTGAGCAGGGCCATTCGTGAGAGGACTTTGGGGAGACCATTAATTCGTAGGATTGCCTAAATAAAATGATAATAATAAAAAACGATTTGCTGATCCCTAAAAACTTGAATTTAGGGACGTGGTGGAGCTGCGGGCTAAACCGCAGAAGCCTTTGTGTGCTTCAGGGTCAGAAGACCAAGCAGTCGTAAGATCGAATCTACGCAACGGAGTGAGCGCCCATCGCTTGTCCCAGCTCCCACCAACCTAGCAATTCGAAAACATGTAAATGCGAGTAGATAAATAGGTACCATCTCGGTGGGAAGGTAAAACGGCGTTCCCTGGTCACGCTGGCCACGTGACAACGGAAAACTATCTTCGGACAGGCGCTGGCTCTATGGCTTGAAAAGTGGGATGAGTGCCGCCCCCTAAAGTCAGACATGACTGGACTGAAAATGTCAAGGGGAACGTTTACCTTTACCTTACCTTTTAAAAACCTGAATAGGTCCTAGTGTTAAGGGGAGTCACAAAGGTGTATTTTCCCCCTGGTGACTGGGTTTGGAAAAATCTGAATCCATGCAAAACAAATAATTATATGTCATCAAGCTGATGCATGAGTAACTCTTTCCAGGGTTTTCTAAGCATAGAGATTCCAGAAGTGGTTTAACAACCGTTCCTTTTTTCTGAGGTTGCTCTGGGACATGGAGCTTCCCAAGGCTACACAGGCTGGCTCTTCTCCTATGAGGCACAGAGGGGAATCAAACCCCGGACTCCTGGCTCTGCGGCCAAGTGCTCTGTCTCACTAAGCTATCCAGACGAGAGTTTTCTCATAGACTTAGCCCATGGCTATGCATGTATTTGCTAAGTGATTAGATGGCAGAAGCTGGCAGTCATACTTTAGTTAATTAGAAAGGGATCTTGCTTGAAGTAATTACTTCTAAGAGCACGTTCCTCTTGCTCTTCTCCAGAAATCCAGCAATATCTAGAGTAACCACAACCCTCTCTAATATAGTGTATTAGCGAGTACTGAAGGAAGGAAAGAAGTATACCAAGCAGGCAGTGAAAGACCTGCTACCCTTAATGTGAACAGGTAACTTGCACTAATTATGAGCTTCCAATTATGCCTCCCACTTTTTGTAGGGTGCTGTGCTGCAATGAACATAGCAAGGGGAATGGGTGTGGGGGCTAGAGTCTGCCATTCCTACTGTGGTCTCTGTGGGTTGCATTTTGATTCAGACAAGATGGAGAGTAGAATATTTATTAGCATTTTTTTTAATTGCTGAGCTGAGGTGAAGGCCACATGAACATACTAAAAAAGCCCAGTGATCTGAGGGCATAGGCTGTGATCCAAGCAAGTCTATGCAGAACAACATCTGTTAATGTTTTGCTGAGACATACTCAAATACCTCCCCACCTCCTAAAAAACCGGTCATGCCCACCAAATACTGGATCTTCCATATTTAATGAAGCTATGCCGTATCCAAAGATTTTAGCTCTGTGGACCAACCCCTGCTCCGACAATTGATCATCAGGATGTTTAGATAAAGAGAAAACTGGAGAACACCAGCTTCTGCAGGGACCTGTGGTTGGGCAACGTACAAACAGTTCAAAGGCAGATTTGCACTGCCACTAGCTCCTAAAGATGAAAACCCCATGTCAAGGCAATCTCCTACCGGTGTTTAGTTTCTCATTAAGTTGGGAAGACCTTCCTGGTAGATTGACCAGGAAACTTCACTGGCCCAGTTTCAAGTTACTCCCAGATCAGGGGACAGCACTTCTTCCTGACACTGCTCCTGCACCAGCTACAAATCTCTGCCTCCTGAAATCAAGGTACACTTTGCACAATGGGAGTCCTTTAGGGCAAGACCTTTGGGAGAACCTCCCGTGCCTCTGTATAGATATACTCACTGTCTGGTCAGCTGCCGGAGGAGGAGAAGCAAAAACAGGAAGATGGCGGCCAGCAACCAGGAGCGATGCCTCCAGATTGCGACCGAGAGGCAGAAACAATTCATCCTCAACCGATCTCCAGGATGGCCGCCTCTTGGGAATTCCAGAGTCCTGGGATAGATGCTCCCTCGAGGAGGTTGTGTTGCATTACCCTGCCCTCCCCAGCCCTGCTCAGCTCCCAGCAGTCATTCAGTGGAGCCTTCGATTGGGTGGCTGCTTAAGCCTCTCAGGCAAAGGCTGCCTTGCCTCATCTCACCCACCTAAAGCTGCTCATAACCTCCGCAGGCTACTTGAAGGGACAGCAGCCTAACAAGCTGAAAGCTTCAGTCTGGTGACCTTGAGGCAGCAGCTGTCATACTAAGGGCGGTTCTCCACCCCCGCCCCCCCCAAAGGGTGAACCCAAATTCAGAAAGCAAGACCCCCTTCCTTCCGAAAGGCTAAGGAATTGCCCTGGCAGACCCAACTGTTCTAAGCAGCACCTCTTGTAATTAATTCTAACAACCTTAATTTAGTACAGGTTGCTGTCCTCTGAAGATGCCGGCCACAGAGACTGGCGAAACGTCAGGAAGAACAACCTTCAGAACACGGCCAAAGAGCCCAAAAAACCCACAACAACCTTAATTTAGTTCAAAACTCAGCAGAATATGCATTTCACACAAAGAGTGAAATGGCAGCATCAGGATGGGTGCCAACGTTTTAGGAAATAAAGTGACCATACCTGTATGTTTACAAGGGCTAGGGACTATTTAGGGGGAAATACGTTAGTGGATGTAACCTGTGGCGTCAACTGTGCAAGTGCAATGCTTCTGTCACTTGACAGAAACCACATTTCCACCTTTTGCTCTATTATCAAAATCAGTACAGTATTTTGCTTCTCCCTCCTATGTGCTTCCACAACACCTTACAACTTAATTATGGTAGCCATTGTCCCCCCTCTTCATAGGCAACATAGTGGGAGACACATTTCAATCTTTTGCTCTATTATCAAAATCAGTACAGTATTTTGCTTCTCCCTCCTATGTGCTTCCACAACACCTTATAACTTAATTATGGTAGCCATCTTCATAGGCAACATAGTGGGAGAGGGAGCAGATGTGCTGGCCAGAAGCTGCAACATAGCTAGCATTGGCCGTGGTTGTGATGTTGGGACAACACGGAGCTTCTTGCCTCCAGAGAAGGAAAGCTTTGGTTGACTCTGTAAAATCAGCTGACAGGGGCTGCCATTTCCCTGGGGATGCCCAAATGTGTTCACATTGTGGGAGGCTCCATGTCCCCTTTTCCTAGCCTATAAAAGCAGCTGAAAGGTCAAGAGATAGTTGTAAACATTTCTTTGTAAAGATGTTGCTTTTCATTGTGTCTAAAAAGCTAGTAGATTTAGTTAAAAAAATTAACCTCACCCTGAACCCCCTCACATTAAGAACGTGTGGTGGTGTCTCATTTCATTCAGAAATCTCCAGAGCCATTTCAATTCAGTTTCAGATCTAGTAGTGGAGTGGAGTGCTCTGATTGCCTTTGGTGAGTGACTCACACTAGAAATTGGACAGCTGGAGCACATCACGGGAGGCACCGCTAAATCTCTGAATGGAGTTTTGGCACCATCAACCATGGTCTCCTTCCTGGTTACTCATCTGGGATGGGAGCAGTGCTGTTTTGCAGTGGATCCAGTTCTTCCTGGAAGGATGAATTCAGAAGTTACCCTGGGCCTCCTTTTGAAGAAAAAAAAAGGTCAGGACAGAAATGAAGTAATTGAAGTTGTGGATTGTTCAGAGTTGGCATTTCAGTGGCACAAGTCAGTGGATGCCATCTTACTCTCTCACTCCATTCCGCAAGAGCTCATGGAAGCAATTTCGGTTCCAAATGAATTTCTCACATCATTTGTTCTATTTTTTCAACTTCTATAAAAGGTAAAGGTTCCCCTTGACATTTAGTCCAGTCGTATCCGACTCTAGGGTGCAGTGCTCATCCCCATCTCCAAGCCATAGAGCCAGCATTTGTCCATAGACAGTTTCGTGGTCACGTGGCCAGCACGACTAGACACAGAACAGCATTACCTTCCCACCGAGGAGGTACCTATTTATCTACTCGCATTTTTACATGCTTTCGAATTGCTAGGTTGGTAGGAGCTGGGACAAGCGACGGGAGCTCCCTCCGTCGCGTGGATTCGATATTACCAACAGCTGGCCTTCTGACCTTGCAGCACAGAGGCTTCTGTGGTTTAACGCAGAGCACCACCACGTCCCTATACTTCTATACCAGCCCACTACTGCAAACACACTGGGCGATTTGCAACACATTTAAATAAAATGGAAGCACTCCTAGTTGGTCAAGAGGGAGACCAGGGAATACAGAACCGTCCTTTGTTGGATGAGGTGGCACTCTTCTTCACGACATAGGAATTCAGCAGTTTGAGTTCAGCAGTCTAAATTCAGTTCTATATTAAAGGGTTTTGTTTCCAATCTCTTTTTGTTTTAGCTATACTTGTGATTTTATTACTGTTCACTGTGAGTGCCATTTCTGAAGCATAAAGGCAGGATGCCAGTTTAATAAATAATGTAATACTCAAAAGCAGAGACATGTTCCAAGCTTTTCAGAAACTAATCACTGATGTGTTTCTGAAACTCACACATCCTATACAAATCTTTCAGACCAGTAGCCGAAGCAATCTAAGAGAGCTCTTGAGACAAGATGATGCACATAAAATCAGAAGGGATGATGGGCCGTATTGCATTAGCTTGATACCATCCAGATGGCTTTTCCCCATCTTGCAGTCTATCTTGACTGCCCCCCACCCTCCATGAAGATTTTATATTTGAGATGTCCACCACACAAGCAATACACCCACCTCATGATTACAGATTTCAGACAGTTTAACACCATCACTGAGCTGCCTTAGCAAGGTCTCTCCAGGTCACTAAGCTAAGGAAACTAGCAGATGTCAGTCTTCTGTGATCTCTCGGGAATGAGGACCAAGGCACATTCACCTCATGAATACAGGTAACCTAGTCTGCAAGGCGGGCTGAGATGGAATTTTGGACTGCTGTGAATTCTTGTTATTCTCAGCATTGACAAGGACATGCACATAGCCAGGGCAAAGGGCATAATAACCCCCATCACTCCTGTCAACATGGCCCCAATCTGCTCCACAAACCTCAACTCTGCCTGGTAAATTTGTACACAACCTATTTTCAGCAAAACCCTACTGAACGATTGCGGAACAAGGCACCTAGTCAATCTACCATTTCTGCTTGCAGACATAAAGCAAAAAGCTTTTTCTTTGGGACACAAGATTAGATACAACTAGGCATCAAACATGCAAGAGAGTGAACAGGTGGTGTAATGGTTGTTCTGGGTTTTTCGGGCTCTTTGGCCATGTTCTGAAGGTTGTTCTTCCTGATGTTTCGCCAGTCTCCGTGGCCGGCATCTTCAGAGGACAGCAACCTGCACAGGGAAGCCATTGAAATCCACAAGCACAAGCACAGTTTCAACAAAAAAGAGGAAAGTATGAAGCTCAACAAAACTTGGCTCCCAGCTATCAAACATACTACGTGCAAAAGGTCAGCGAACTCTACCCACCCACAAGGACAGGGGATCACTACACACAAAAGACCAGCTAATGACACCCATCAACCACAGGAACAGATAATCTCTTCCCCTTAGTACAACAATACACCCACAACAATACACACTAATCACCCATCTACAGAAAAACACAAAAGCCTATCTCACAGCCATAAATACTGCACTCCCAAGCCAACTACACCAGCGCACAGGTTGCTGTCCTCTGAAGATGCCGGCCACAGAGACTGGTGAAACATCAGGAAGAACAACCTTCAGAACATGGCCAAACAGCCTGAAAAACCCAGAACAACCATTAGATCCCAGCCGTGAAAGCCTTCGTGAATATAATAGGTGGTGTACTTCAAGTGCCATGTGGTTCATGGAAGCCCTACATAGGAAAGCTATCTAAACACAAAGCAATGGAAGGCTGACGGTATGGATACATTTTATTATAAAAAACATTCATACCACAGGTCAAATCTGGAAAAACATGGGAGGACAATAGAAGAAATAGAATGCAACAGAATGAAACTCTCATACAGTGGTGCCTCGCTTAACGATTACCTCGTTAAACAACAAATCCGCTTGACTGTGAGGTTTTTGTGATCGCAAAACAGTGTTTCAATGGCCAAAAATTGCTTTACGACTATCGGGTCCCTGCTTCGGGAACCAATTCTTCGCATTACGATGATATGAAAACAGCTGATCGTCGGGTTTCACAATGACCGCCCGCTGTGCAAAATGGCTCCCCACTGTTTTTTGGAGGCATTTTTTGCTTTACAGGCACCGGAAAATGGCCGCCCTATGGAGGATCTTCACTGGACTATTAGGTATTTAGCCCATTGGAACACATTGAACCGATTTTCAATGCATTTCAATGGGTTTTTTTTATTTTCGCTTGACGAGGATTTCGTTCTACAGCGATTTTGCTGAAACGGATTATCCTTGTCAAGTGAGGCACCACTGTACTATGTAAGAAGGGAAAAAAGATACGACATTTTTAGGTAGGAATACTTACTGTAGTGCACAAGCATTTAAAAGACTTACAAAGGGCTGTTAAACTCAAAATGCAAAGAATGGCAAATCTGAATTGGTCTGCAAGTAAGTGAACTTGTTCCTCTCTATGCGAGACTTAAAGACACAAAGCCTGGAAACAAGGAACTGGGACAAAGCACCACTTGTAGCCATCAGTCAACACCCAGCCCTCTCTGTGACAGAAACAGGTGTCAAAATAGCACAACACAGCTTCACGGGCCTGCTGCTCTCTGAAGCCGAGTCCACCCCAAAAGTCAGCCAAACGTCTCATGTCTGAGTCACTCTGTGTTCTTGGCTCTGCAGAGTCTGTCTGGGGCCCTTTGGCCGCTTCTTCCGTGCCTTCTCACGCAGCAGCTGGCGGTAGTGCAGACGTTTGGGATTGAGACCGTAGGCTCTGAGCCGTTGGCGGCTAAACTCTGAGCCTCCCACCCGCACCTTATTGCCCAACACCAGCCCCTTTCTGCCTCTCTTCTTTTGCCTCTGCGTGCTGGGCTGGGTAGAACGAGAGGTCTCTAAGGCTGCAGCCTCCGATTCCTTTCCCGTGGCTAGGGTGAGATCCGTTTTGGGAGCCCCTTTGGGAAGCAGGAGTCCTTCCTCCTCGCGTGCAGGGCTAAGAGGCTGCCTCTCTTTCGAAAGCAGGCCCTGCTGCTTGGTCTTCTCCCTGCTCTTTTTGCCCTTCTTGCCCTGGGAGTTCTTGGTGTCTTCTGCTTCTCCCGTCCTGCAAGCAGATCAAAAGGCAACATCAAACCACACAGTAAAAGGGTCGCTCCTCCACTGCAAAGTGTCAAGATGTAGCCTCTGCGGAATTGTAGCAGGCCCAGGAGCCTGATCCCCAGGAATCTCAGACTGGGATCAAGTGTAAGATTCCTGAGGAGAGAGAAGAAACTACTCCCAAGGAGTCTAAACTTTTGTGCCTCCTTCTACAGTGGGGTCTCGACTTACGAACTTAATCCGTATTGGAAGGCGGTTCTCAGGTCGAAAAGTTCGTAAGTCGAATCTGCATTTCCCATAGGAATGCACTGAAAACCATTTAATCCGTATCTGCTCTTTTCCGTCCATAGAAACTAATGGGAAGCTGCTATTCTGCCTTCTGCCACTATATGACTTAGATTTTTTAAAAAGGAAAGAAAAGAGTTCGTAACTCGAATCTAAGTTCGCAAGTCGAGTCCATATATTCCTATGAGAGCTGTTCGTAAGTCGAAAAGTTCGTATGTAGAACCGTTCGTAAGTTGAGACCCCACTGTACGTCTCAAGAACCTTAGGATCACTAGAGAACAAAGGGACTAAGCAGGCAGCTGACTGCCAAGGAGAGCAGAAGGGGGCAAACAAAAGACATTAGGATGAGATGCAGGAATTGCAGTAGAGGGAGATGCCGATCGTCCTAAAGGTGGCACCTGGGGAAGGCTAAAGAATGCAAGTGCAGACAGCAGGGTGGTCACCACTTCCCCAAAGCAACCACCACCCCCAGCCATCTCCAATTTGTTCCTACTATTCGATCAGTATGGCTCACCTGAGCCTTCCAGATCGCTTTAACAGGCAGCTCAAATAAATGCACCACTGACAAAGGCTCTGTTCTTGACCACTTCCAATGATCATTAGCCATGCGAATGTGGTAGCGGACATGGTGACAGAGGGATCGGGTAGCAGTGTTGAGGTGATGCGAACTCAAGAGCTTAGCTCAGATGAATAAACCAGATGTCTTTTGGACTGGTCCAAGGTTTTTGAGTTTCTAGGACCCTGCATAGGGTCCCTCAGGCTACTGGCCCTCCCTCTGTCAGCAAGCTAAGCCACCACCTCCCGGGATACATACTTGGTCTGAAGAGATTTGAGAATCTTTTCCTTCTTCCAAGCATGCTGGGCCTTCTGCTCATAGATGGCCTTGTCCTGAAGCTCCTCCTTCTCGGACCTATAGGGAGGACACAGTCAGGTTTTGAGGAGGAAAGCCCCCCCCCCAGTTAGTCTCAAAACCACTCAGATTCCGGGTTTCTTTCTTTAAGGTAAGGAGGTAAAAGAAAGAAGCAGGAAAGACAGGCCTCTCTAAAGCCGACTCTTAGAAATCCTAAGTGAAATATCCAGAGGCCTCCTCCTAACAGGAGGAATAGCAAATTATACTGCCATTAATCTTTAAAATCATTTTACAGAAATAAAAGTGAAGCTGCACATTTTCCCACCTGCCTGAAAAGATCCACTTTGTACCTTTATTGTGACAGCTTTTATTTTAAGAAGAGACATCATTATTTAATTATTTAGAACATTTGAACTTGTCTTTCTCCTTTAAAAGGACCCCAGGAGGCTTACATCCTTGAAAGACAATATTTAAAGCTAAAAACAATGAGTATGAAGAGTATAAACAAACAAATACCACTTTGAGAGATGGTAAACACAAGCGTTACTAAATACCGGGTCAGAGCAGCAATGCATAACAATCCATCTAAAAGTCACTCAATGTAAGCCAGTCACTGAGAGAAAGCTTGCCTGAAGAGAAAGCTCTCTGCTTGCTTTTGGAAGAACAGCAAAGATGCAACACCAGCAAACTCTACTGCATTGGTTTTTTGCGATACAGACAGCCTGAAAACAACCCGGCTACCCCCTCATCCCTTTTGCCCATTTGTTAGACAATCTTCCATCCTTGGAAGAAAAACAAAAGCCAAAACAAAGGAGCCGACCCTCCATGCACCTAGGAGTCCAGGTCGTTCCCTCCCTGTCATTTTGGCAGAGCAGAGCCCTCCATTTCATTCTAAGCTGTGAGCACCTGTTACGAGGCAGTCCCTGCCAGATGGGCCCACCCTCCCCTCCTTCCCCTCACCTATACATGCAGGTTTTCCGCAGAGAGCACCAGCGATTCAGCTCCTTGTCATCAGCAGCCAAAATCTGAAATGAGGGAAAGGACCACCGGTTTACTCTGCCGCTCCTGGGGCTGCTCCAGGGTGCGGACCCTTTGGAAGCACCGACCCTGGATGGACCACACCACCCCTCCAGTGGGAAAGACTACCTCCTCTGTTGAGAGCCCATAGCTACAGGGGATGACAGTGCGGTACTTGAAACGACAGGGAAGGTCCCCTATCAGATCTTCATAGTCCAGGTGGTAGAACTCATCCAGGTATTGCTCAAATGTCTTGGTCTCTGTACAGACAGGGGAGAAAATTAAGCTGTGCAAAGGGAACTTCCACTGCCTGTGAAAGCTGACATTTCCAGCCCTGAAGCTGATCCATTTCCTACCTAGCCAATTCAGCCTTTGAATACACAAGTCAACAACAGCTCCCTCCCTGCTGTTCTTCAGGAAACCAGTGAAAACTGTGCTTTTTAATCAGGTATTCAGGTCCGTCCTCTCCACATGAGAGTTGCCGTGACTCATTCTGTGTAAATTTCAATTGACCTGCTGTTGCCATCTGTGGAGGATTTGCTAGATAATATCAGTTTATGCTTATGATGTGTGTTGTCTTCTATTGTTATTGTTGTAGAGTATTTTGTTCAATGTTGTCATATATTCCTTATGTTCCTTTGTAAATCACCCGAAGTAGTGGTTCATCACTAGATGGGCGGGATGCAAGTCCTATCATCATCAACCACAATATTAATACATCCCTTCCTGGTGGCCACTCAGTGTGCCAAGAGATCGGAAATGGACATTTTTATTTTGCCTGACAGAAGATGGCTACAACACTCCTGGTGGCCACTCAGTGTGCCAAGAGATAGGAAATGGACATTTTTATTTTGCTTGACAGAAGACGACTACAAAACAATTATATGGCAACAAGCATCAAAAAGGTCCCCTGAGAAGATCTGTGGAAAACACAAGACGAGGCACCAACTTAAGGAGTTAAGCTCACCTGCACTCTCACACAAGGCTGATGCTACAGAGAAAAGCATCTACTCCCACTTTTGTTCTACTGCTATCATACCATATTCTGCATTTTACCTACCTTAAACTTCAATCCTACCCTTTGAACTTCCTATAACTGGGCCTCAAGGCTTAGATCTAATCGCTAGTCACGAGAGCAGCCCCACTGACTCAGTTGCTGAAGTCAGCTTTCTCATAAATCTCACTGTTTCAAGGCAACTATTATCGCTGGGTCTCCCAACCAGATTCAGGCCTAAGTGTTGCACTGCTAAGGGGTGGAAGAAACAACATGGGTTTGTCAGCGCTGGAACGTTCCTTTCCTCACACATGACCACGTTTTTCCAATACTCCATGAAGTGGTTCATACTATGAAAAGGTGGACAATACTCCATGAAGTGGTTCATACTATGAATAGGTGGGTGAGAGCACTGATGCTCAGAGACTGGCACAAGGAAATTCACTTCGGCCAACGCAGGTGGGGTGACCTAAGTACAGGGCTCAGAGACTGGCACAAGGAAATTCACTTGGGCCAATGCAGGTGTGGAGCAACTAGGGTGACCTAAGTACAGACACTTCCTAAAAAGGACTCTGCTTTATCCCACCAGCTGTGGTTACCCAGGTCAGAAACCCATGTGTTTATGCCACTGTGCTGACAATCACTGCCTTCAAAAGCAAAGCAAGTTTTCTTCCTTCTCAGCTCCAACAAACCTGCCAAGCAATGGACATCAATGGATCTAAGGAAGGCCCTTCATTGCCATCTAATGTCAGCCTGTCTAACCTCCTTACCAGGGTCAAAGGGTTCTTTTTCTTGACGGATGGCATCTGCAAAACGTGACTTGCGCTTCTTCTTGCCCAAAAGAGGAACATCCAGCTTCCGTCTTTTTTTTGATGGGCCAGGTTGCTGGGAGGAGTCATAATCTGCATCCATCTGAAGGTGGGCATGGAAAGGAGCAGATAAAAGAAACCAGGGTCATTGCACGTTGACATTAACTGCACAGTGCAGCGCACAGCAACCCTTCTGCCTTGAACCATTGTGCGGGAAAGACAACGAGAGGAACGTAAGTCCCTCCCCCAGTCAAACATTTGCATGGAAAACCCCTTTAACATACAGAACTGTTGACTCTACATCTCATGGTCTCGCGACACCGGGAAACCAATAAAGCTTCACTTTGCCAGTTAAGCAGCTCATATCAAGTTTTGCTTTCATTGTCCTTCTGAACACCGAAGACGTTTCTAGCACACACAAAGTATGTGACTGCCACATACATCTCTTCATTTTATTGATATCCTTCCTCTCTCTCTCAGGCAGCTTTCTCAAAAGTGTTGGCAGCAGAACCTGCAAAGGGCTGTGAAGGATGAAGGATAAAGCTCACCCCTTTCCCCTTCCATCACTTCTGCCCTCAGTATTGTTAGATGCCACCGTTTTCGCCAACTGTTCTCAGATATTCAGACAGAACACTACCCACAGCCTTGACTACAGGCGATGGGTCCTCTTTATCTCATTCTGCCCTTCCTAGTGCCTGGCATCCTCCCCTACCAGTTCCAACCCTGGTGACAACACTAGAGGGATAGTGAGGCTGGCACACCTGCTTCGCTTCCCAAGTAGCAAACAGGGCTGGGACACCTACTTGCAATACAAAGCAAACGTACCACAAAGTCAGGATCCTCACAGTGTGGCTGATAGTCTCCTTCCTCCTCCAGCCACGTGTCCTCTTTTGCTTCAGCACCTTCCTGTCCTGTCCATTTGTCCCAATTCCATTCATCTGAATTGGGGATAAAGAGAAAGACGGGAAACTGTCTCATTCTTTAAGCAAAGATACTTTAGGCCCAATTACTTGCCAAACCCCACTCAAATCATGAGATATTCAGATCAGGTATGTCGCCAGCCATAACCACATCTGTGTCCGTAACATGAAATAGGTTTTAAGCAAGAGGTATGTCTTGAGAGTGAGACGTGGTGGCGCTGTGGGCTAAACTGCAGAAGCCTTTGTGTGCTGCAGGGTCAGAAGACCAGCAGTCGTAAGATCGAGTCCACGCGACGGAGTGAGCTCCCGTTGCTTTGTCCCAGCTCCTCACCAACCTAGCAGTTCAAAAGCATCAAAACGCGAGTAGGTAAATAGGTACCACCTCGGTGGGAAGGTAAACAGCATTCCGTGTATAGCCGCGTGACAAAGCTCTGAAGATTCCGAAGGTGTTCTCCTTTCAGCGGGAGGAATGAACTAAGGAGCACCTCAGAGAGGTGGAGCAGGCGTGCCTGCCTCAAGGGCACATCCTACAATTGGCTCATGAAGGCTCTAAAAGATTCCAAGGCATCCACGCAGGCGCGAAGCAAGACCCAATGTTTGATTTCACAGAGACGACAATGAAGAAATAATGTTATGAATAGGACACGTTACGTCCTCTTTTTTTCAAAATCTTTCCAGCAGATTTCAGGGCAAGGGTGACTTCTGCACACAATTTTAGGTATTATCTGGTTGGTTTCTTCTTCCTCTTCTGTGCTATCATGTATGTTTCCTTCCCGGACATTCTCCCAGGCAAGCACAATCCCTGGCTCTACATCCCAGACGGAGAGGCCAGAAGGTTATACATGAGGCCAAAGTGGCCAAAAAATACCTGTCACATGTGCACGAGGAGGACTCAAAGGCAATAGTGCTTCCACATTATACATACACAAGGGCATCTAATATGCACCATATGCCTGATCTGCAGCCAAACATGGAGATTCTACCACTTCTAATAGAAAACTGAGGTAGTGAACCTGAATAGATTGCAGCGAAATTGGGGTCACTGAGAAACAAAGCGTTCAAAGAGATATTTTTAAAAAATGAGGACACAAAATGATCAACAATGTTCAGCACCCCATAACACAACCTGACATTTAGAAAATATGGGGTGGAAGAGATGGACCAGAACAGGTTGCTTAGCAGGCACCCTGAACGGAGACCATCCTACTAAAAGATGAGGATGCCCTGCAACATTTCATGTGAACCTGTAACAGCTGGTATTGTTTTAAAAAAGGATTGTTCAGGAAGAGTCCTTTTAAAATGCTATTTAACCCACCTAACATCTACAGGAAAGTTGTAGCTTTTTGACATTTCTGGACTGCAACTCCCAGCATTCCCTAATATTAGCCATGCTGGCTAAAAAGAATGGGAGTTGCAGTAGAACAGCATCTGGAGAGTCACACAGAGGGCGAGTCCAAGCGAGTGTCTCTTATGCTAGCCTGAAACACAACATATCCAACACGGCTGCCAAATGTCCCCTCGCTTCAAGCCTTCCCAACGTACCATCAAGTCCTTCCTCTATCTCAAACTGAGGTTTTTCTTCCTCTCCGACACCATAGTATTCATCTCCAAAAAGTTTCTGGAAGAATCAGAGAAAGGTGAGACATTTCACGAGCCAGCTGATGCTCAGGAAGGAGGTGCGCAAACGGACAGACCCACAAGGCAAGGACACAAGGAAGGAGGAGACCTGGACTGGCGGTACCCTCTCCACACCTCTGACTCAACCAGTGAAACCGTTCATGCCGAACTGTGGCCTGCTTTTGAAGCAAAGGGCCACATGAACTTACAACAAATCTGCTTGGAGGGGTCTTGAAAGCACAACACCTTCCCAAGACCTATTAAGCTTTTGGATGTACTGTATAAAGAAAGCTGAAAAAAAGAGGATGGGATGTCTTATTTCAACACCCAGTAACTGAGAGGGAATGGTCAATTAGGAGCCGGGCAGGATATAAAACTTCCACTGATCATTTGGGACGGCATTGTATAATTTGTAGTTCATGGGTGTGAATATGTGTGCATGCACATTACTATACAGTGGTATCTAGCAAGATGACGACCCCGCTGACGGACAAATCCACATTACGATGACTTTTTGCGATCGCTATAGCGATTCGCAAAACAGTCATTCCTATGGGGGATTTTCGCTGGACGTCGATCAGGTCCGTGCTTCATGAACCATTTGTTTGCAAGATGACGATTTTCCGGCTCCGGAAAGTGGCTGCCCTGTGTTTTCTGGACCCATGCTTTGCAGGGCAGCCATTTTAACAGGTGATCGGCGCTCGCAAAATGGCTTCCCTATGGGCAATCTTCGCAGGACAATGACTATTTTCCCCACTGGAACGCATTAAATGGGTTTCAATGCATTCCAATGGGGAAACTGACAACGATTTCGCTAAACAGAGATTTTCCCGGAACGGATTATCGTCATCATGCGGGGCACCACTGTAATTTCCTAAAAAGGCCTTCATTTCACATCACAACAGGAGACAATATGAATGTTCTAGTTTCCAGAGAGAGTAATGGGGTCATAATGGCTTGAAATCTTGATAAAGCCTGTTTTTGGGAGTCTGGGGGTTCTTTAGTGGTATGCTTCCATGAAACCATACGAAAAACAATCCTTAAAACTGCTGTTGATTAAGCTAGTTAAATACTTCAATGACAGATTATTTGACACCATCTCACATATTTAGGATCATCGAACCCACTTAACCTCCTAGGGGTTGGACTGGATGATGGCCTCAGTAGTCTCTTCCACCTCTATATGACTCTATGATGACTGCAATCGATCAAGGAAAGCTCTTTAAAGACATTCAGAAACATCTAGCAAAATGGATTAAAAAACATCTCCCAGATAAATAAAAATTTACCAAATAAAATAGTAGCATTTTAAACAGAACTAGTGCTGTTCAAAAATGCATAACTAAAGGTGGCCTTGAAAACAAAGCAGAACTACATTCACATATTGATTTGGTCTGTAGTCTTAATTCAGTAGCTGGGCAGGGAGGAGCCTGGGCAGGGAAACAAGGCTACAGAACTGAACTGGACTTTATGATGCTTCTAGGTCAGTGCTTTTCAAATTTGGTTCTTGACCTGCAACTCCCAGAAGCCTTCACCATGAACTGGGCTGGCCAGAGTTTCTGGGAGTTGAAGCCCAAGAACACTTGGGTGACCCAAGGTTGTGAACCACTGTAGGTGATTTTTCCCAGACAGTGGTTAAAATTAGGATTGATTCAAACAAGGATTATAGAGCCACGGTCTGCCACCCTTTCAGTAATTTCTAGTTTTCCACAATTTTAAGATATTATCCTTTAAAAAATAACGTACAACAAAATTAAAACAATCTAAAGAGCTTTTGCTTCAAATGTACTGGAAAGAGCCCTTATGTAGGAAAACTCATCCAGCATCTCTCACTACTGCTCAAAAATGATTTATTAGAGGCAGCTCTCTAAGACCACCCAAAGAGGACAAAATTAAGCAATAGGCGAAAATACAAATTCTGGGGAATCTCACCTACCAAAATAAAATTCAGGATTTGAAAACTTCAGAATCTGGGGAAATGCCTGATCCTTGGAGGCAAAAAGGTCAAATTTAATTCAGGCTTTGCAAACTACCTTATTTCCCCCCCCAAAAATAAGACCTAGCCTGAAAATAAGCCCTAGTATGATTTTTCAGGATGCTCGTAATACAAACCCTACCCCCAAAATAAGCCCCAGTTAAGTGAAAGCCCACCCTCCACCATTGTGCAGCAACCAGAAGATGACATGACTGTATTTGAATAAATGTAGATTGTTGTACATGAAAAAAAATAAAACATTCCCTGAAAATAAGCCCTAGTGCTTTTTTTGGAGCAAAAATTAATATAAAATCCTGTCTTATTTTCTGGGAAACATGGTATTAGAATAGCATGTATACTAACAAAATATGTTTAGTTGATTATCCTTGATTTATAAAAGATCTTGTTATGACCAGCTTCGTATTTTCATTAAAATAATATAGAAAACTTCAAGAAAATCTGGGGGGGGGGGAAGGCAGATGGAACTGTATATTACTCTAAATAGAGGATTATCTCTTCACTGTGAACTGCAAGATGCTGTTAGTTGCAAATAGCAGACATTTTGCAAAGTCACGGCCATAGAGAGCTAGAATCTGTACTATTACAGAAACAACAAACAGAACATTGTGTCTACTTTCATATGGAGGTGCTAGAAGCCTCCTTTCTGGATTCAAAGACTCACTATCCCCTGCCACATTTCTCTGTGTCTTTAACTGCTGAACCGCAGTGAGGGATTTGACACGTTCTTCCAGTGCAAGGCTGGGAGTGGTGGTACATATGGTCAGTCACTGTCAAGCCATAAAATCAGCAACCATGCTCCCCATCAAGTTTGAACTAGGTAGCCAGCCACAAATGCAAGCTCAGTGTCCTTACATTTATGCCCTAGGGCCTAGGGACCCAGTTCTGACTTTTAGTCACCAAGTATCTTGGACAGGGAACAGATCAGGTTGTGCACGGGCCAAGAAACAGAACTCTGAACCTGGTATCTCTCCTTTCAATCTCACCCCTGCCAGGAATTTATTAAGCGGGGCCTTAGACAAGCCCTTTGGGACTCAGCGCGGATAGCCTCAAACAATACTGAGAAAATAGCCGTTATCTGCACATGAAACACTCTGAACGTTTTAAAGAACTATACGCAAGAATCTATTCATTGGATCTCCAGGAGAGAGACCTCTCCAGCCTGCAGAAAGAACACCTGGGCGGCCGTGGTCAAAGGTCCTCACCTCCATGAACTGGTCATGCTGTGCAGGATCAAAGTCCCCTTCAAGGTCCTGCTCCTGGAAGTTGCCAGCTGCACTGCCGGTGATCTCACGCAGCTTTTCCAGCCGTTCCAGGATCTCTCGGCGCTTCAGGTTCTTCAGCTGCTTCAGCTCCTCCCGCTTTTTTTCCTTCTCCTTTTTAGATGGGCAAAGCAACGGATTAGGACATCGCTCCTTGCCCAGGCCAACCTAAAACCCAATCTCTGTGACTCCGCCTTCCCAGCCCTTCTGCCGACAGCCCGGCAGAACTCACCTTCCTCTTGCGCTCACGTATCTCCTGGCGCTTCTCCTTGCGGCGCTCATCTTTCCGACGCACTGAAGTTGGAATGACGCGTGGATGCGTACTTAACTGGTGGAAGAGAATAAGACATGATTTGAACGCCACATCCCTAAGAAAGGCAAGGAGCAAAGAGACCTGGTAGATCTTACTCTAGATTTCTGGGCCCTTCACAGACAAAATCCCACTCCAAATTTCTTCTGAGATGGCCTCGGCGAATGGAGGAAAGGCCTCAGCATCCTATCTGTACCTCCCTCCCCACAGCACTCCCTGCCCACAGAGGAACTGGTAATGGCCCTCACCAGCTGCGCCCCAGGCTCCTCAAAGCGGAAGTTGTACTTGCGCTCAAAATCCTCTTGCTTCTTTAGGAACAGCTCACCCTCATCCGATGAATCTGACACGGCCAGCTGGGCTTCGGGGAGCCTGTGGAAAGCCAGCGGAGGAGAGGAAGGTGTAAGGACACACAAATGGATTGGCATCGTTTACAGCTGCACAGAAGACAATTCAACTATCACCACAGAACCACAAAAAATAGACATAGGATATCTTGCCACAGAGCTGCAAAAGGCTTAGGAAGTTCTTTAAAATGGCACCATCCCAGGACTGTGGATTATTTCGACAGCAGATCTGTCAAAATCATAGGGGGACCCATTTATAAAGCATGACCAGTGGTCCAGTCGTGCCACTCTTCAGGGGTCAAGATGCTAGCACTCCTCCTGAAGCTTACAATCTCGCAAGGTCCCACCCTACTGACACCACCATAGTTGCATCTCTGGGTCATAATCAGGAGGATCTGAACGTGTGCGTCTGTATGCTCAGGTAAGGAAGCAGATGTGCACAGGAAAAGGTTGAGAGGGAGAAAGAGTAAGTCTCATGGATGGACCCTGCATTTTTTAAAAATGTGACTGCAGTACTGAGCATGACTAGGCTTAAGCAGATGTGTGGTGGCTTCGGTGTGGCTAAGACCATATACAGCCTGGCTCCTGATCACGCCTGTTCCTGTCCAGACTCAAGACAAAGGGCTCTGGCACAGAAATCTCCCTCTCCACATGGCCGTGGACCCTGCTGTCTGAAGATGCTTATTATGAGATGATGTCCTCTCTCCTGGCCTTGTTCATAATACTCTGCCATGGCACCACAGTACCGCTGAACAGAAACTCCTGGGAAGTTGCTCACCCACTAGCCGAGCCGTCGTTCAGGAATACACCCCCCCTCAGTATTGCGGCTCTGACAATGTGAAGGGCACTGCACAACCAGAAGACACAGGGGACAGCCTCACAATAGAAGGCAACCAGAAAAGGTTTAATTCAGGGGGAACGGCCAGCCAAAGGTTGCTGCCATAGAAAGGGTGGAATGCAGAGGACACCATCATCCATTTTTTATGTTACTTGAGGTGAGGCAGGTTCAGGCTGCCCGAGACCCACATATCCCCACCACCCCAGAGCAGAAATACTAACCTTACCCATATCCTGACCCTTGCCAACAAGCCAGTGGCTTACCCTTGCCAACAACTTCAAGGCTTCTGCTGTGATTGCCTTCAGGAGTAACAGGTTCTCCTGGGCAGCCAGAAGGAGCCAAAGGGAGACCTGCAGCAACAGCTACAATAGGGATCTGTAGGGCACGTTATTATGTTTATAGCCTGGCACCGCTTGAAAAATGGGGGTGGGGGCACAAACGGGGGTTTCAACTTCTGCTTAAGTGGCAGCTCCAAGCTGGTAACATGAAAAGAAGACAGTGGGATCTTGTTGGTTTCACGCCAGTTCTCGTCCAATGAATGCAACTGCGACTACAATTCTTAAAGTCTCGTGTGATGTGGCAACAATAGCAATATCACCCTAGTGCCAGAGGGAAGAGAATGAATACCACAACTGTTAATGGTTTTCCACAAAAAATGTCCTTTAAAGGTTGGCCGGAAACCAGAGTTGCTGACAGTGCATCTAATGAACTTCCATGACTTTGACACTGCTGATCTTTTCCTCGACAGGAGAGGTTTCACCATAATCACCATACTCGCATAACCACTAATCACACAAAAATAATTCCAGGTCTGTCAGGCAAAAAGACAGCCATGTCTTCATCCTCAAAACCTTCTTGTGTTCCAGGCAAGATGTTGCACTGTGCAAAGCACAGGTGGCTTTACTGAGAAAAGCAATAGCAACAATTAAGGGACAGACCAAAACTGTCTTAATTGTGTCAGCAAAATATGAGCAGGGGTTTGCCTACCCCAAGACTGTGATTTACATCCTATGTAAAAAGCATATATATTCTTTTTCTAAAAACCCAAAAAAATTCTTAGAGAAGTAGATCAGGAATAGGCAACATTAGAAGAGTTACATCCCAAATTTCTGTCCCTGGACCCCTCTGTGGGTGACACTCAGTCTTTTTAACCATTTTTGAAAAAAATGTAAGCAGAAAGCGCCCAGACACAGCAGTTCTAGTTTCTTTTTCTTTGGGGAGTTTAAGTCCTCCCAAAGCCCCTGATCCAAACAGCGTAACTCCTGGGAGCCTATAATGGTAGGATATATTGTATTTAAACAGAGTAGTCTGAGGTTGGCCATAGGGCTGCAAAAACGCCCTGGAGACTGCACGTGTCGCACAGACTACTTGCTATTCACTCCTGTTTAAGACAGACTTATTTCAGCATGACCTTTTGCGGATTACTAATCCACTTCCTCAGACACATGTCCTAAATATTATCCTCCACGTGTCTGTGGGGCAGACTGAAGAAATGAACTGCAGTCTGTATTTGAGTAAATGGATTGTAATCCAGAAAAACTCATATTGAAACCAATCTGTTAGTCTTAAAAACACTACAATACTTTCGGCTTTTGTTTTGTTTTTTCTTACATATTTCAAACAGAACAATTCTTGCTTCTCTACTAAATAAGTATTGATTACTACAACCTATGATCAGGAAAATCCCAACTCCACTTTCCAGACTTTAAGGAACACTAAATACACACACAAACATGTCAACACAGCTGTTGTTCTATGATAGTTTATGAATGCTGGCAGGATCAGGATCAGAATCAATGTGTCCAAGAAACAATTTCAGGCAGTTTGGCACGTGGTTCTATTAATTGTGGAACATCCACTCGTGGGTACACAAAAATTATTTTGAACAATTTACTCTAAGTAAGGTGTAAGGCTAGAATATGATAATCATGTTCAAGCTAAAATCACAAACGGATTATCCGCTTACACAAAAGCCTGTGCTGTGCACAGCCAGGAGGAATGAGAAACCTAAACTGAATTCCTAGTCTCAACCAGAGATGATCCACTGAAGCAATAGGATTCTCCTGAAACTATGAACAAAAATGAGTACAGGTCTACAAAGCCCTAGCACCAGTGGATAGGTGAAGAGGAAACTCAACTAATTTGTTTTCCTTCATCCAACATCCACCACTTTTTCCAGCTCAAGGAATGGAAGAGGAACCAGGGAAGATTACATGTCATCCTCAGGAGATTCAGATACCTATTAGCACTTACCCTTCTTCCTCCTCCTCCTCCTCCCCATCTCCTGCCTCCTTATAGCGCTTGTTCAGGATGTAATCCCGCAAGAACCGTTCCCCTTCATCCAATTTTGGGTCACTCCAATATTCTTTAAGGGGTGCCTGAGGAAAGGCAGCGAGAGATGAGCACAGCTGAAGTCTGAAATAAATTCATCAAACCGATGATCTGAGCAAGCGTCACCAAGAAGTTCACAGGCAATGCTAACATCACCCTGTTTGTTTTCAGCCCTATAAGCAGCACACTTTATGTTGAGTGCTGGGTGAAACCTAATTCTGCCCTCTCTGCAGGTGGAGAGTGACAAAGAGCCTTCGCTCCCTCACCCTCTTCAGGCGCTGACCGTTTTCCTTCATTCCTCTATGCATAAAGCATTCATGGAGAAGCAAGTGAGAAGACACCATTAATGCCTATTTCATTCCCTGACATGGTGAGTAGGCAGATGAGGCTAAGGCAGAGAACTGCTTGCCAATTCAGAGATGTGTCATCATCCTAAGCCAAAATTCTATCATCCTGTTGCAGGAGCGATGAGGATGCTTTGGAACACGCCCCCAAGAAGGCAGGAGCGATGAGGATGCTTTGGAACACGGCCCCAAGAAGGTATCTAGTATTTCCCTGCACAAATATGAGCCCTGTTAAGAACCGTGTGAGAAACCGCCCAGCTTGTACAACTGCAATCCAGTCCTGGTAGATTATCACAGGCAGAACATGACATCCCTCATGTAATGCAAGAGGACTCTAGCTATAGTCACAAGATATCACAAACCCATTCCAAGTTGAATCTGTGATATAAAAATCACAAGATACCAAAAAGTCTCAAGTTGTAGATTTAGCAGTATTTAAATCCACGCTGCCCAATATTTTCCACTTCGAGTATCTATTGCTCACTAATTTTTGTAGTTATATTAGCCAGAAGGTCAACCTGAGCCAAATATCCAAGTTTCTTCCCATATTTATGCACCTGGGACTTCATGCTCTAGGTTCCTAACCTTTGTTACTCGGATGTTTTTGAACTGCAACTCCCAGAAACCCCAGCCAGCACAGTTGGTGGTGAAGGCTTCTGGGAGCTGCAGTCCAAAACTCCTGAGTAAGCCAAGGTTGAGAACCAGTGCTAGACATCCAAGTAACAAAGGTTAGACTACTGACTTCTAGAAGACTTTACAAGATAGTGCAGCCCCATGTATTCCTGGAAGATCTACTGACTTCTGAAGGCAGGTGTACAAAGCCTAGCAAGCTTTAAGATGCCTATTATCTCACCAAGAAGAAGTCACAGGTCATACTATGAAGAAACAGAGCCAGATTTGGCTGCTAAGCACTGTGGCTCATAGCATCATACTACCATTCACAGCCCATCACGTACCAGGTCCTGAAGTTCCTCTTCGGCTTCTGACTTCTCTTGACCCTTTAGCCAGCTGATGTAGTCTGCCTCTTCATGCTCCTAAGAAAAGAGTAGGCAAAACACAAGACAGTGTTGACACCCACTCTCCTCAATCTGACTAAGGGCAGCTACTTCTACAGTATCTGGATGTTCAAATAAATTTCAAAGCCATCCTCACAGTGAGCAATTGCTTGTTAATAGTTAAACTCCTAATTCTCACTCCAAAAAAACCTAGCACACTTAAGGCGTTTGCTATACATAAAAAGAGTTTCACAAATAAGAGGGTATTTGTCATGTTAAGTGAAGTTATCAGAGATCAGGCACCACCAAGAGGATAGTCAATCTGGCTGAAGCTAAAGCGCTAGGTCCAAGGTGCTTCTCCAAAGAGGCACATCCTGCCATTGGGGGGGGCACCAAAGAAGAAGCCTTAGTCTACAGATGTGAGGCATCCCAACAGATCTTTGGTATGCTAAAAGCATGCTATTAATGTTTTTAATTGCATTGCTGCACATACTCTGCTATGCAAATGCAAAATCTGGCAATGGGAAAGAAATGTAGCATCTTGGGTTGGATGGGAGGGAGGAAAAGGTAAAAGACAAATACAGTAATCCCTTATAGATTGAAAGGGGAGGATCAAAGTACACTCTATTCTGTTTATACAGCAAAACCAGAATCATGTCACTGTCAAGTTCGATGTCATATGCACTCAGTGGTGGCCAGGAAGGTGCTGTAATGTCCTAAATCGGCAGAACCTTTAAGGATCCCACTGTAAAAATATAGTACTTCAATTTAACCTCACACTATGAAGCACCCATGACATCCATAACAATAAATTAGGAGAGATAAAGCTAAGCTGTGTCATATTCAAACCCTTCCATCATCTTGTGTGTATATTCTGTGCTGTCAAGTTGGAAATTACTTAAAGTGACCCTACTCGGTCTTTCAAGGTAAGTGTTTAAGGAATGGTTTTACCAGTTCCACTCCCCCAGTCAGTTTCCACAGCTAAGTAGGGATTCAAACCCTGTTCTCTACAGTCCTAGTCCATCACTCTTTCCACTCTCCCATAATACCCTTCCATCATCTTGTGTGTATATTCTGTGCTGTCAAGTTGGAAATTACTTAAAGTGACCCTACTCGGTCTTTCAAGGTAAGTGTTTAAGGAATGGTTTTACCAGTTCCACTCCCCCAGTCAGTTTCCACAGCTAAGTAGGGATTCAAACCCTGTTCTCTACAGTCCTAGTCCATCACTCTTTCCACTCTCCCATAATCATATTATCCACTCTTTCCACTACACCACACTGGGAATCTCCCATAACCATATTATCCCAAAATAAGTGAAGAACTGCAAAGATGATGGGCTTTTTGCCCCTTCCCTCCCCACAACCAGAACAGCTGAACTATGAAGGCCTGTGCAGATGGAGGAATGTGATGATTCCAGTCTGTCTCTGAGAGAGAGAATATATGGAACTGTGATTCATAGGCTGGAATTATCACCCAGCTGCGGGAGATGCTATTTTACATATACAACAAAAGGGTGTGTGGGAGAGAGAGACAGCAGCTGAGCTCAGTTTTAGTCAAGTTTTTGCTTGATTTAGAAACAAAAAGGTCTGAGGAGCTCAGTTTTAGTCAAGTTTTTGCTTGAGTTAGAAACAAAAAGGTTTTAATTTCTAGAAGCAGTTGCAGTGAAGTCAGAGTCTGACCAAGACCTATAAGGTAGTTAAATTTGGAAGCGGATGTCGTTTGGTGGCAGCACACATTAGGCAGAGCAAGCTGGTGGGCAAGGATCTTTCCTTGCCAAGACAAGAGCAGAGCCCAAGTAGCCAGAAAGACACAACCTTTCTTCACATACACACCTTCTCTTCCTTACTTTTGACACATTTTCGCAGCAAGGCAGATGAGGTGCCACTTTCAACCTCTTCATCGTCATCGCTGTCTTCTACAAACTTCTGGAAGCTGCACAGTGGCAAGGGCAAACTTAGCAACATTCAAACTTAGTGGCCTTGAGTCTTTAGAACTCAAAAGGTTAAATCCACAAAATGGAATAGGGTCCAAAGGCTATGAGTATTCAGGATGAGGCCCAAATCCAGTCACTAACCCCAACTAGAGCAGACCTACTTTAGTATTACATATACTGATTAACTGAATCAGCAGAGTTGAGCAACAGAGTTCAGGCCAGAGCATTAAGGCAATAGTTAGAACAATCCTGACACTGGAGCAAACATTTAAAAGAAAAACTACATATTGAAATTAAACTTGTCGCATACATAACATTGTTTACTTGTGGGCATCCCACCTGTAAATATCTGGGGGGAATCCCAATTCCAGGTAACGGGTAGCCATGACCTCACCTGTCCGTCACAAGTGAATCATCAGCCAACGGTGTGACGGAGGGTGGAACTGAAGGGAAGGAGATGGTATAAAAAGGGGGGTGAAGGTGTGTGTGGGGAGATTGATTGAGTGAGAGAGTGAGATCTGGAGAGATCTGGTGTGAGAGAAAGAGGCCTGCGTGCCTGAGTGTCAGTAAGGGAATGTCTATGTGGTTGATTTAAAATAAAGTGATTTATAAAGTGATTATCTGTCTGTAATTCTCATATTTTATTTTTGTAATCAATAAACCAAGTTTTATTTTTGAAAGAAACCCTTGTCCTTTTTATTTAAAGGAAAGGTTGGTGGCAGCAAGAGTGTGGTAGCATGGTGACCATTCTGAGAGGCCTTGAGTGGACAGCCACGTTACACAGGGAAAGATTTAAAACAATCTGGGACTAGTTTGCACAAAGGCACAGCCTCATGACCCATTTTCAATCTTGAGCGTTAGATGAAAAGAAAATGAAAAAGTGAGGGGCTGCTGAGCATGTACAGAGTGGGGCTTTTCTTGTTGTGTTTTACAAAATAACTGCACGTTCAAGTGGAATATTAAAGAACTGAGCTTCCAGAATAGCTGCAGCTCCTGCTTTTACCTTTTCTCTTACATATCACACACTAGAAACAAGGACACAAACAACTTGTCAGTGTGAAGCCAGAACCCTGTTTCCTGAAGATTCTGACTTCCAGCTAAGCCCCAACAAGTCATCTCTTATCTCACCTCTTCTTCAGCTCCTTCTGTTCTTCTACATAGCTCTAGGAAATGGTAGGAGAAAAAGAGAAAGTTAACATAACACAACATGTTCCAACTCTCTACACCTTTTCCAGAATGGTACAAGAATTCTTTTGAAAACAACACAGCTTTCTAATGTACAAGGGACTCAAGAGAGTTGTTAGTATGAAAGGCATTGTCCTAAAGCCACAAAGGTTCCCAATATGCCTCCCCCTGCATCCTCACCTTTGAACTGTGAACTCTTGCTTCTTCCTCATCTTCCTCATCTTCATATTTGCTGCAGAAAAAGAGTTACATACTGAGATGTCTAATTTCACTTCCTTTAAAAAAAAAAAAAAAAAAAAAACCAACACAAACTTGGGGTATATGAAGAACACGCAATAGCCCAGAGCTTGACCCCAGATGAAAGCAAACACAGCATTTTTATCTGAATCACTAAAACCTGGTCTCTTCTCACTAATCAGGTCTCACAGATCCAGACAAAGGAGGCTTTAGAAAGAAAAACCAAGGCACTTTACCCCCTTATTAGCCTGGCATGTACTTATTGCACATTTGTTCAGTGGTAGGAAGAGCACCTTCTTGCTCTGTTCAATCCAGCAATGGGTAAGAGAATTCTGCTTTGGAGTGCTGAAAGCAGCCTCGATTGTACAACAGCAGGAGATGTGTCAGCTTTTGAATGAGGAAATCAAATGTTCCAGCTTTATTGTTTTGATGCTGATATGCCTTAAACACAAAATGTGACAGACAACTGATATGTACTAATTACTGCTGCACATTTCTTGTATTAACTGCTGTCAGCATTCCATTGCCATGAAATGTTATTGTGAGCAGATAAGTTGGGACACATGAGAAAAGTTGACCTCCGTGTCCCTTTGCCCCCCACCCGACCCCAGTGGTTGTTGCCAAAGATACAGAGCAGGCAGAGGGTAGACCTCTTCTCCAGGATATCATCTAGGTGTGACCACTTGGTTAGAACAGAGCTACAGGATAGACCAAAGAGGTAAAAAGATGAGGAAGGCAAGAAAACCCCAGCCAAATATTATTTTGCTGAGAGGAAGATAAAGGAAAGGAGGAAGAGCAAAGACTGATCCAATACTCTGGCAGGGAAATGAGCCTGACCCCACAATAGCCTGACCCCATAATAGCCGCCCAGAGTGGTAGAATATACCAGATGGGCGGGATATAAATCAAATAAATAAATAAATAAAATGTGCAGGATATGTGGCTCCAAGTGGTCATCCTCCATTGGGACCCACCAACCCTTGCCCTCTGCTGAATGAGCTCCCCACTGAGGAACCCCTCACACATCTCAGGAGACTGGGTCTCCTGAGGGTCACACCAGCAATAGGAAGAATCCTGCCCCTGCAACTGAACAACCCCGACCCAGCTGCATTGCTTACGCTGGGAAAGACAGTTCAAGCACTTGCAGCAGATGGGAGGCTGAAGGTGTATAAACTCTGACTCTTTGTTAAACTTTTTGTTTGCAAAGTAGGGTGAAGCCAAGCCCACACCTCCTTAAGTATTGTGGACTAGAGCTAATTCTCCTACAGAAACATGGCAACGGAACCGTGTGGTAGAGAGAAGCTGCAAAAAGTTCTGAAAATGTTTGTCTGGTTGATTTCAATACCTTTTCAGAGTCTTTGTCAAGATGATGCATGACAATGGGGCAGTCTTTTATGACCCCCATCCCAAAAAGATGAGGTATAAGAGAAAGTGCACATGTTATAATAAACAAAATAAAGTGTATTATTTGGATGAAAAAAGTGTTGCTTCTACTGTTATGGTCTCTACACACTAGAACAAAAGTCACTCACAAACAAGATAAAGCACTGACCTACAAGCAACGAAGGCCCAACCCCTGATATGCTCCATAAAGCACTGACCTACAAGCAACGAAGGCGAAGGCCCAACCCCTGATATGCTCTTCTCACAACATGACAGTATCAAGCAGGTGCAGAAATATGTAGTCAATCTGAGTAAAACAATTCTGGTTTAGGTAACACCTTTACCAGATGACTAAAAAGTTACAAAAATGTGTTAAATGACTTTAACACAGCAGACATTCTGATTTTTAGGCCTTACCCTCCCTTCTCCAGGATCACTTTCCTCTCATAGTCTTTCAGAAACATGGGCTTTTCTTTCTTCTTTGGGGTTTTCTTTTCACTGTCACTGGCTGAAGAAGAATCTGACAACAGAGTCGACCACAAGTGATTATTTGACAACTCCGGAAGAAGTTTAACAATCATGACCCAACCTGGACCAAGAAATCTTCAAAGGTAACACAAAAACAAAGAAAACACTGACCTTCTTTACTATAGAATGTGACATCCTTCTGATAAATCCGGGGGTCCTTCTTTTTTAGCATGGCCAGAGTGCTATAAAAAACTCGATCCAGCTTGGGATCCAATTCCTGCAGCCGGAGAAAAGAACCAGTGGCTGACAACTACTATTGGAGATCACTATTGCTTGTGTAAGGATTTTTCTACCTTGCCCAGGAAGAATGAAACTCAAAAGGTACAATAAATGGATCTGGTGTTTCTGTTGGACAGAACAAATGAACAAAGCAGCCCCCACATTAGATCTGTCAGTCCCAACCACTTAAATAGAGACCGACAGCACAAACCTTGCTTCCAAGCAATGAACTTTATTCAGGACACATCCGCATGAGGTACGCATAGGCTACCAACATTTACTTCTAACGGAGGACGGGCGCGCTTCCCACACTGAAGATCCACTATACTTGGCTGTATTACCTTCAAGTCAAGTCAGGTCTGAGCACGGAAACAGAAACCTTTCCGCGTCAACTCACCGCCTCTTCCTCGCTAGACTCCGATTCGGAGCTCGACTCTTCGTCTTCGCCCCCATAGCGATCCTGCACTGGAGAAGGGGAGAAAACCAGGTAGGTTTTTGTTAAGGGGGGGTTGCAATTCCTTTAAGGCCCTTCCTCAGAGGCAAGACTCTAAGCCAGGCAGCCCCCTCCGCCACTCACGCCGCTGTAGTTCCTCACGCCGACGATACTGTCCATAACGAGCCGCGAAAGCTGCGTTAATCCGGAGCTCCGACTGCGCGGACATCGCTTCACGGCGGCGCTTTCACCCACGTGGACACGAACCACTTCCGGGGCAGCGGTCGTGTGACGCGATACGTCAGTCGGTCTGTCTTTGGCCACACCTACGGAGCTCACACCTTACCTCCCTCCCAATTGGCTGGAATCAAATCGTACGCAAGCAGCTTTCTTTCTGGCCGCGACAGCGTTGTCCTTCAGCGCCCCTCGCGGCAGTTCCCCTGAACTGCACCGCGGATTGGGGGGCGCCAGGCTTGGTTAGGCTTCATTTTTCCCACGAGTGTATTAAGAAGCCTTTTTGGGGGAAAGTCACAGCCTTCACGACGTTGATCCGGGAAGGAGTACAAAAGAGGCAAGGGAAAGCAAACTTAAGGCATTGAGAAAAAATTAATTTATTACGGAATACGAAGGGTTCTTGGACGAGACGATCTGAGTTACCTACATTATGGTACAGTAATTACATTTTTGTGTCCCTTAAACCGCCATGGCACCAACTTGTAGTCCTGGGACTTGCAGTTTTGAAATGGGCAGTAAGAATTACCTGCTTGGACTTCGGAAGAGAGAACGAGAATTTTCTGGAAGAGGAGACCTAGCATTGCACGGAACTACAGATTCTAGGATTCTACCTGCAGGGCAGGTAAAGGGATGAGAAAGTGCTTTTAACTGCAGCGTGGATTCTGTTTCATCAGATCCGTTCCTTGGTATGTAGGTAAGAGGAAAATATTAAAAAGGTAGTGAATTGTGCTTTCTGTATTTTGTTACTATTGAATCCAACTGCTATATTTTCCTTCACCTTACACACCTGCATTTACCCAACAATTCCAGATGCTTTAAGAAGCTATAGGAGAGGGCTGTTGTCCATAAATCTGATAAGGCTATATCACCCTTTCTTTCTACACTACAAATCCACTTGCAGGCATTAAAAGAGGTTGGACCCAATCCTCAGAAGAAGGTAAGCATACCTTTCAAAGGCCACTTGATTAGCAGAAGAGAGAAGCAGCATGAGGGGAGGTAAGCAAAGCAGGCGAACAAAGTAATTAAAATAATAATTGTTCTCTCCCCCTGCCCACCTTAACGTGGAGCCTGAAATATTGTGGCAAACTTGACAAGTAATTCAGTGTTTTGTGACTTTTGTTGCAGAACTTTATTGTCTGTTCGGAAGTAAATGGTACCGAGTTCACTGGGAAATTATTTTCACGTAAGAATCATAAAGGTACAGAGTGCAATTCTATACATTTATCTCTTTAATGGAGTGTAGAGACTACTTCAGCTTTTTGGATGGAGTTGATGGATGCTGTACCAAGTAGGCCTTGCCCTGAGGCAGTAAAAGGTTGTGTTAAAGCAAAGCGTGCAGCCTATGGCCATCTGGATTCTGACGCCTGCCATATAGGAACATAGAAGGCTGCCCTATATGAAGTCACTCACACTGTATTGTCAGTTCTGATTTCCAACAGTGGCGGTGTGAGGTCTTGTTAGGCACCACTCTTACTTCATCTACCTGGAGATTCCTTAGGGTCTCCCACCCAAGTACTAAGCAGGCCCAACTCTGCTTAGCTTCCAAAACTGTACAAGATCAGTATATTCAGGATGGTATTCTGGTCTTAAAGGCTAACCAGTACTATGGGAGCCCGACTGCATATGCAGAGTTGTCTTGAGCCCCTATGGCTGAACAAAGACACTAAGCCAAGCCCATCTTTCTATCCATGAATCATTGAGACTCTCTCTCTCTCTGTCCTTGATTGTTCCATCCCAGGGACAAGACACGGCCAGCTCTTACACAAGAGGCAGAGACTTTCTGTTTGCACTCATGCATGGCCAGTAATCCCCTCAGCTGCTGGTGGTTTCCTGGCAGATTGCTGGGTACTTGGCAAGGGGTCAAACACTGAAGTTGCAAAACAGGCTCAGCTGTTTATGCTTTCATTTAAAAAACTCCCTATCTCTTTCTTGCTTACGTCTAAGACTGTGCCCAGCTTCCCCTCCTACACCAGGGCTTGGCAAGGAGGCAGACAAGCTAGTATTACAAAATTCTTGGCTTCCTTCCTTCCCGGTATCACTGGGTGCCACACCCAGCAGCTGGGACACTATTCTGAGTGATAATGCTGAGCGCTAGCCTGCAGAGAACCCGACAGGTTCCTTTCGGTGCACTTGGCCCACGGCACAGCTCTCTCGACAGCTGTTTTTGATGTCTCGGCACTGCTAGAGCCGACATGGATACATATTTCCAGTACTGTACAGTTGCCTCAGACTAAGATACAACCTCTTCCCCTCTCCCAGTCCCCAGGGAGTAGCAGGAAATTGGTTCTACAAGTGTCACAGACCAAAACAACTTTCATAGACAGATCACCACGGAAGAAACAATGAAGGGGAGCATTGCTTCAGTTTCCAGAATTACCCAAGAAATGAATAAAAGCCTGCTGTTTAAGAAAGGAGATGGGCTGGGGTCAGCCATGATGCCCTAGCACAGTGCTCCCCAACCCCTTCAGATGAGATGTTCTTGGACTACAACTCCTAGAAGCCTTCACCACCACCTCTGCTGGCCAGGATTTCTGTGAGTTGAAGACCAAGAACATCTGGAGGCCCAGGGTTGGGGACCACTGCCCTAGCACATAGTTTCCCAATCCGGGTGTTGTTTTCCAGGAGGTCACTGTGGTTATTTTTAGTTGCAATTATTTTTATATTTATTATATTCTATAGGTATCCATAGTGCTGTTTTATTTTAATCCTCTTGAGTAGAGATGGGCACAAATGTCAATTCGGAGGTCCCTTCTGGTTTCTACGCAGGGCACCACAGTTGCCGCGCATGCATTTCCTTCCTCTGCTAGATCCCCCACTCACCAGCTGGCATGTCTTCCTCTCCTCCTCCTCCTCTTTGGCTGATCACCCACTCAGGCAAGGAGGCAGGAGAGGCAAACCCCTGCTCCTGCCGGGGACTGGATGAAAAACTGAAGAGGCGGAGGGACGGAGCATGCACCGGCTAGTGAGTGGGGGATCCAGCTGAGATGATGAGGGAAGGGAACGCTTGGCACCTGTGGCACCACATGACAAACGTCCGAACCAAGGTTTGTGCCCATCTCTACTCTTGAGCCATAGAGGCAACCTAGAGTTCTGTTATTTCTGTACCACTTTAGGAGGATTTTCCTTTTATGCATGAGCATCTCTCGTACCCCCCCTCCGAAGGAGCTGGTGATTATTTGGGCTCAAGGGGAAGGGGCTCTTCACTGAAGAGGCTTTTTTTTTGCCAGGAGGAGATATGAAGGGAGGGTCGTTTCCACCTCTGAAAAAAGTAAATTAAACTCAAAATGTATTGACATTTTTTCCTTCTCAATTTTTATCTGGCAGAATCTGATTTAGAGCCCCCCCAATCATTATGTAATATTACATTAATATTAATAGGTTAGAATAATATTCTGAAAAAATCTATTTTAAGGTGTTTTCTTTACCCCGTTAAAATGCCCGTTTATGCAAATGTGGTTGGGGTTGCAGGTTAGCTGGCTAATAAAAAAGGTGGTCGCAACTTGGAAACACTGGTGTAGCAGAAAAGAGCCCTCCATCAGTAGAGCTTTCACTGGACTTTTTATTCCAGCTCACTAGTTAAACAAAGGGGCATGGTGGCACTGTGGGTTAAACCTCAGAAGCCTCTGTGCTGCAAAGTCAGAAGACCAGCAGTCGTAAGATCGAATCCACGTGATGGAGTGAGCTCCCGCCGCTTGTCCCAGCTCCTGCCAACCTAGCAGTTTGAAAGCATGTAAAAATGTGAGTAGATAAATAGGTACCACCATGATGAGAAGGTAACGGCGTTCCATGTCTAGTCGCACTGGCCACGTGACCACGGAAACTGTCTTCAGACAAACGCTAGCTCTACAGCTTGGAGATGAGCACCACGCCCTAGAGTTGGACACGCCTGGACTAAATGTCAAGGGGAACCTTTACCTGTACCTAGGACACTGTTGTAAGCCTGTTGTGATGCCTTTATCAGTCTGAATTTGCAGTGAGGTACACTTGTCTTTCCCTATCTTGACCCAGTAAGTTCAACGGTACCAGATTTGCTTGTCATGCTTAGTTTTAGAACTTGTTTCAAGATCACTTATTCCAGCTCACAGCTTCCGAGTTCAGTTCAGCCTCATTTCCTACACATATCAGGGACAAATAACTGAACCACAAGCCCAGGGGCTTCTTTCTTACCTCTTCTATAACTAGGGTGAATGTGTAAGAAGAAAAGGAAAGGTATGTTCAGCTGGTGTGCTCCATGTTTCACTGGTCAACTGGAATTGGCCACTGCAGTCTGCAAAGAGCAGGATGGAGCACTCCAGAATTTAGCTGCTTTGTGGAGAAAAACTGTTCTTGCAGTAATCAAGAGGATAAAAAACAAATTCAAGTAATGGACCCCTACACTACTATTCCAATAATTCTTAGTACATTTCAGTATACTCCTAATTCTACCCTCCCTTCCACAGAGTAATCTCAGCCTTCCAACCAAATGATAGCTGACCTTACATTATTACACCAGGACTCAGATAGTCTTGCAGCTATCAGGAAGAAGAAAGTTTGCTTCAGACTGTTTGCTTTTTTATTTAGTGTCATTTACCACCTTGAGATCTTTCCTTCTGAAAAAGAAAACCTAGACTCGAGAGGCCGCACACACCCCAAGTCCCGCTTGCCTGTCTTGGCTCACGCATGCTTACTCCAACCTCTTCACAGGCAGAAGTATAATGGCAGAAAAAAAAACCCTGCCCTAGGCGCCTTGAAGAACGCACGAGATACAAGTGGAAGCAATAAATGCTAAAGAGGCCACAAAGGTCTGCTGCTAGAGTTCATAGTCACCTACATTCTGCTCCAGGTCAGAGTACATACAGTACTTTTTATTATCTTGGGAGCATATGCCACATACTTTAATCCTGAAAGTAGCCTGTATTTTCCAATGCTAAAAAGGGTTTCGATTAATCCAATACTGTAAGAATGGGGAACCTTACCTTTCCAGATGGTTTGGGATCTCATCTTCTTGAAACCCATAGTCAGCATAGCTAAAACACAGCTGTCGTCTGAAAAAATACAGTATCTGAAGCACCAAATGCTCCTCACCCTCAGTTATGCAGAATGGCTGGCCATCCCCATACTGCTCTAGATGGTTTTGTGGCCAAAAAAAGTAGCATACAAATAGACCTTCAGATCAGGAAGGGCAAACCTTTACCGTACTTGTAAGTGATGTAAGGCCTTTGCAGTTCCTAGCATGCCCCCTGTACTGTTCTTTCACAGGTGTCTGGACTTTTGTTATATAAAACTTCCTGAAATTTTATAAAGATTCTTCAGCAGGAGTTCCACAACCACTAACATGTGTTGCATCCTTTGGAAGAAAATGAGAGAGGTACCCTTTAGTAGTCCTTCAGGAAAAGTTTCCCCAGGATCACAAGTAAATAAACTAGAAATAGATTAATGTTTTTTAATAATTAAATTAATCAGTGAATAAAACAAAACCTTGCAAATCACAATAAATAGAATAAATTTCCCCTCCTTTATAATCTAATATATACACAGCTCAGATCCACAAATTCATTACTGGGAACAAGCTGCCAAAACAAGCTTTAAACATATTTGTCAAAGATAACAGACTCGGCACATTTTGGATATTTGTCTGAAGGGCACAAAGCTAAGTACCACAAGGCTAAGGTTGAAACAACTACTCATGGCCGGAGGACCACCAGATCCTCTGGCATCATACAGAAACTAGGGAGAAGTCATAGAGTGGGTCTTAACAGGAACAGAATGATGTGCAGTTAAGCATCATGGTAGCAGAAGCAAGATCCAATCCACAGAGAGAGACAGAAATCATGGCAAACTCTTCTGTTCAGTGCTAGGTTAGTGCCCCCAAACACCACCTTCAGTTAATTACTGCTGGTGCTGCATCACGGAGTCTACACACCTCAGTATCTCTGACCGGCATACCAGTTAATAAGAAGCAACACACTAGAGAATTTCAATATAATCCTCCACAGGAAAAGTTGAATGGAATGCAGGTATTCCCCCAAATAGCTGGGATACCTTGTATAAGGGTGGAGGAGAAGGAGAGGAAGAGAACATGTCAACATAGCAACAGTTGCTCTTTACATCAGAAACACCCCTTCGTCTTGAGCACCACTGGGAGAGGCTGGGATCTTCCCAAGGCAGAGAGTGACAAAATGATGATTAGAAAGGATTAAGGCACACACTGCATGCTTCCATTCAGCAGGGTACATAGGAATGGCACTAACAGAAGGCCATCTGTTCCCAGAGAGGGAGCTAGTAGGTTTGGGAGAAACTGGAAATCAGATGCAAAGAAGAGAATTAATAAAATACATATAAATAGGCACAACAGCAAACATTATGAAACATGCACGCTGAGGTAGGGCAGGAGGAGCTGCCTTTGTTCCAGGGCCCTGGGATAAGAGGAGAGTCTTTGAAGATGGGAGCCTACCTATAGGGAGCAGGGCTGGTTCACTTTTTACCCGGCTTCCTTTGCCTTGAGGCCCCCTCCTCCCTAGGTTAACCTGGGATAGAAAGGTGTTGCTCAAGGATGCCCTGGATGTGAGACAGGCCCAGCTGTTGTGCCAGCTCCAGCGGTGTACGCCCTTGAGAGTCCTGGTGCTGTAGCTTAGACTGAGGTGCCAGGAAGCACACGACATCGGCATGGCCTTCCCAGATAGCGACATGGAGGGGCAGCGAACCAGAGGCGTCAGGAACGTTGACGTCGGCGCCGTACTCCACCAAGATTTTCAGGGTGTCCAGGAAGCCCGTGCGGGCGGCATCGTGGGCAGGGGTTGTGCCCGATTCATCTTGGACATTAGGATGAGCACCTTCCTTCAGCAACTCCTGCGCCACAAAGATGTTGCCAAACATCATGACCTGAAGGAAGATGAAAACGGCCAAAGAGTAATGGGGGGGTGACGTTCACCTTGCAGCACCTGCAGTGGGCGACGCTAGGCAGACAACTCTCAAATCTATCCTCGGATCACAGGATAAGACAAGGTGACGTTCCCGTGAAAACAATCATACGCGTGGACCCATGCCAGAACATGTCATCTACCACAATCCTATAATTTTGCAGACAACCTGCATTTTTTTAGTTCACTGCTGTCCAAACTGACAGGGAGGCAACTGGCAGCTAACCAAAAGGGGCAGAACAGAGAGTCACCTGGAATATTTCAGCTCAGACCAGACTTGCCAGCTACTCCACTGGCGAAGCCTTTGTAGGGTGGGCCTCTCAAGTGACCCCTCACTTGGCTTGGCTCCAGCATGAAGGAGGTGAACATATTTGGTCTAGTCTGCATGCCTGTTTGCCAGAGGCCACCCATGGTCCAGAAAACAGAAGCCCCTCTCCTCAATCTTTACTTGCTTTCCTGGGAGCACAGTGTGTCCCTGGTGTTTAAAAAAAATTGTTTACTTGTCCACAAAGGCACAAGGATGAGCTAGAAAAATACCATGAGAAAAGAGATAAAAATGTTGTGGTTCAAAAGCAAGAAGATAGCTACTAAAAAGAGTCTGGAGCCAAACAAGAAGCATACTTAGGGCAGTGAGGGGTGTACCAGATGCAATGCGTGGCCCAGAGTTAATTTTTGGAGAGAAAGTTGCTGGACCTCCAGAAGGGAAGGCTGGAAAGGCTCCCACCCCGGTCTCTGATCTATGCCACCAGGCTTCCTGAATTAAGTTATACCTGGTCTCCTCATGCCTCCTCTGCTAGACGAGGCCTCTGAGTGTGGGAGGCCCCTTGGGTCCCTCAAAACACCCACCCACACACAGTCGGGACCTGCTTCTCCCCTCCAGGAGGACCAGGAAGGGCCAGGCTCCGCTTTCCAGGCGGGGATGGGGAGAGACCCGGGAGCCGCCTCGCCTACCTGCAGCGCCGTCTTGCCGAAGCGGTTCCGCGAGTCGGGCTGCACCAGCTCCTGATGCAGAAGCCGCCGCACCTCGGCGACGTCTCCTCGGGCGGCCGCGCCAGTGAGCCGGTCTCCGGCACGGGTCTCGCCCTGGCCCGGCTGCATACCCGTGCAGACAGGCACCTAAAAGCGCGGGGGGGAGGATAGAGAGAAAGAAAGGGCGAGGATGAACCGGGGCCCTGGACCACGGACCTCGCCTGGCTCCCGGGCTGGCTTGCCTGCTTCCCTCCCTCCTCCTGCCCCCCCCCACCCCGAGACGGCAGCTCCAGCGCCAGCCATCGCTCTCCAGGAGAGGGGCTGAGGCTCAGGTTTCATTGGAAAACGGCCCTGCCCTGTCCACCCGCCTCCTAAAACGCGGCTCGGAGGAGGAGGCTGCCAGAGCAGGACGGCAGGGACCGCGCGCTCTGCACACGCGCCGGGGTCCCCTTCGACTCGCACCCTCAACCCCCCCCTTTGCCTAGCAGGCCGGCGGGGAGGGACGAGAGAGGCTGCAGCGCTGCCGTCCTCTCCGCCCGGGAGGGCTTACCTTCCCCCTGCACTTGCCCAGCGGGGCGGTGGCGGCGGCAGCCGGCCGGCAGCCGAGCCAACCCCGGCCAGCC